TAAGACGAGAGAGAGAGAGAGAGGATGTGTACATATGGTACACTGCTCATCAAACATATATCTGACTATAAGCTTTAAAACAGCATATCTTCATTTGAGAACCATTAGACAGATAATTAACAAAAACATGGGGCTGAGCAATTCGACATCAGATGATATGCAATTATTATAATAATTGTTACTACTATTTATAGAGAAAAGGAGGTAAGAGTAGGAGGAGCTGGAGCAGAAGCTTACTTGGGCAGTGAATTAATTTTGACACACTAGCTTTAAAGGAAATACTATTCAGTAAGCCATGATACTGTAACAGACTCTGTAGAGTAACCATCAAAAAGGCAAAGGTGTGAGAACACAGAACCAAGAATTATATTTGATTTTGAGAAACCATTCTGAATAAATAAATATCTTGTAGCATATTTCCCACCCTTTTGACCTCTCTATATCACCATCTAGTTAGCTTATATAATGTCCGTTTATAAGAATAATATGATATCGACTAAATTTCTTCTAATAATTGCCTCAACAAAAATGGAAAATGAGAAGATAGGATTAGGCTTCATTATACAAACTATATAAAATCCATGTATACACTGGATATGATGCCAGTACTAAGATTGTATAGTAAATCAGTGGTCTTTTATTGAGTATAAAAGAGAACATAAATAAAATTGAATTGAAAATGAAAATGGAAGTGAAGATAGAGATAAAAGGGAAAGTTGAAATAAAAAGATAAAGAACATAAATAAAGAAGTTGTACAAAGGAAAGGATATATATGAACGTAACTAAAAGAGCATAGGTTATCATAGGTCATTAACATTTGCGCTGCTTGATATGTCTTTTAAGATTGTAGTTTTTAGTGTATTTTTTTGGACATTTAGGGCAGCAAAACAAACTTCTGTTGCCCGAGTGGGTTTCCAAATGTCTAGCAAGATTAGATTTCTTATCCGTTTTATACAGACACTTAGGGCATATGTGCCTCTTTGTAGGGCTTAGACCGGAAGCTCTGGTGTTTTGAGACGATGGATTATGAGGATCATATTGTACTTGTTGTTGGGCTGTTTCCGGCTGATAATCAGAATCTTGAAAAAGACCATACTCATTATATAACTATTCAAAAAATAATTTACTGTGTAACCCATTACGTACCATTTTCATCGTGGCCTTGAGAAGATCCTGGGGAAGTTGGACCAAGCGGTGGCAACGATGGAGAACCCTGAAAATGCGGCTCTACATTAGCACCAGGGATGGGAGCAGCTGAAGGTTTTCTTAGTTAGCACTACTTGAATATGTATCCAAGCCTAAAGTTGAAACCTCTCTAAATTTTAATTTGTGTGTTTAAGAACAAATGAATACCTAATATTCCAGGTATATGATTCTTGAACTGGTCCCAGGACAGGAGGCAAGTACTATCCTGTTGTGTACGAGGCTCATAGTTTTGGAAAGGGTATGCTTGCTGGTGTGTGCTATTTCCATTAAGACACCCTATACAAAGATTTGAGTGTGTATTCCATCAAGGCGCAAGTAATTTATTCTTAATAAAAATTACCGTAATCAAGCCACTCTTGGTCTGAAACACTAGGGGTCTACAACAAAGAAATGTTTTAAGCAGCTGGCTACGTCCACCGCATTTGATTTTTTTCTTTTTTTCCGAGAAACCGGGTCGTGTCACTTACGGATGAAGGCTGTACACAATAGTACTGACCGGTGGGTAGATAAAAACGTGAAGACATCAGAAAAGCGGTAAAGAAGTGGTAGAAAAAAGTGATATTGGGATTGATAAGAGAGAATAAGGATGATTTTTTTTCGAATCTAATATCCTTTTTATACTTGTAGAATTATTTATATCAAAGGTTACATAGTAAAGACAAATGTCCAAGAAGTGTTTGCTAAAGTAACACAAAGATTCTGGGATTCATTTTTAGTATCTTAACTGATCCTTGATTGGCTGCTCAAAAAAGAAAAAAAAAAGAAAAAAATGAACGCCTTTTTTAATTCTTCGTCAAATATTAAATATATAACCAACTCTCTTTAATTCTAACTACTTGGATTTTATACTTCTTTAATTACACTTCTTGAGATACATACACATGTTTTCTTTATTTTATTTTTAAAAAAACCCCGAAACCTTATTAAAACATAGGTTCTTTACTTTATTCTGTAGTACTAGAATATACAGCTACTATGGGATTGACTATGGGAATAAAATTGCATTCAATATGTTGATAGCCAAAGTTAACGGTACAAGTAAATATTATATATAAGAAATGTATTTTTTTCTATAGAGCCCTATGAGTACTCAGCATGACACATTATAACAGCTAGTGCTAGTATAAGTAAAACGATTGTTGGTTCAAATACAGTGCTGTGTATTGTTAATCCTCACAAGGACTTGCATTATTTAAGCTATAGTCTTCTTTACTGTAGTTAAAGACAATACACAAACATTCAAACAAATAAAATCCACTTTGAACAGCTTGGAATTCAAGACAGTACGATATGTATATCATTATAGCAAGCTTAATATTGTTTAAAATGTAATCCCATTATTTAACTTGCAGTGGGAAAGTTGAGACCAGCAAACTTTTTCATATGAAATTAACTTTATTAAATATTGAAATTGCTAGGTGTTGTATTAAAATCACATCGATAGACAGTGAAGTATCTACTTGTTCAAAGCACAGTGTATTACACAAAAGTAGCATAACATGGTCTGTGCGCTATAATACTACCAATTCTACATAAACGTAAGCTCAAGTTTGAGGGTGCATCTTTATTTTCTCAAGCTGAGACGGTGGGCGTGATGGTTGGTGGCCGCCACATTGCGGAGAAAGTGATAAGTGGCGAGAGGAGACTGAAGTGGATGTAGAGTAGGAAGAACGAAATTGGCAGAGGAGGCCATTATCAGAGGAAGTTTAGTGAAGGATAATAAAGGAACCTTTTTATCTCGTTAAAAACACTTTCCCATTTTTATTTCATTTTGACAACTGATTCCATCCCCATACGCCTAGTCATAAATATTATTTGACGCCCCTAATTAAATACTGAGTGTATTTCTATTGTCTTGAGAACTTTTCCTCTTAACAGTAGTTTATTGACCCTCGTTACCACGCCTCCAATTGATAATATAACCCTTGCTAGCTAGTAATCCGGCCATAAAAACTATTCAACTAGAGCGTCCTTCCTCATAGTAGACTTGTAATTAGTTATACCTGCTCCCTCAAGTACCCTACGTGTCAAAGCGTCACAAAAAAAAACGAAAGTAGTGCGTCTATAAGAAGACTGGGGCACAAACCTTTACAGTATTATATATACATTAATGAGTCATATCTCCTCCAGCCAAATTGGGCCTGAAATATCTCCTCTTGTATTATCGTAAAAGCCTAGACACAGTATAAAAAAAAGACGAATTGAACCTAAAATTCCTCCTCCATTTCACAAAAGCCCAGATAAAGTATCAAGACAAGATGGCTTGACATTCAATACAAAACACAAACATATTTTAAATAGTCACAAAACTCAAAAGGAGCTATTCATAGTCTTGTCTGTTGAATGATACAAAAGTCTTTTCAAAATATCTGTAAATTGTTGCTCTTCATAGTCCATAGATATGTGTTCTAGTGTGCGTCTGTGTGCGTCTGTGTGTGTTCATTAAGAAAATGGCTTTGGAAAAGAAGCTTAGCTCAAGACACTGCACTGAATTGTTCTCTAGACATTCCTTGAACAAAAACAAAAAGTAGGGTGAGAAAAATTGAGCATCTAAATTAAGTCAGAGGAGCTCATTTATGATAAACTTGACTCATCCGTAGGTTATATAGTATAATTTACTCAATTTATTTTAAATTCCATACACCTAGGCGCCATAAGCGCTATATATAGCTTATAGGAAAAGTTTACTTGACAATATACACAAACATGAAACCAATTTGTTGCAGTCAAGTGTATGTGTAGCATTGGATAATTGTCAATCAGTCTTTACTTCTTTAATGTCCCATTTATTGAAGGCTCCTTCCTTTTTTTCCAAAAAAAAAGAAAGAATACATATTATTATTAACGAATAAAGAGTGGTTTCTTTGGTTCCTTGAAGATATGTAAAGAAAAACACATACACACTTTGTCTCTATATCTTGACTGAGAAAGTTATCCAAATAATATGAATGATTTTATAGACCAATTAAGAGAGTAAGACCTGAGGTCTTCTTTACTTGAAATTGGTTGAATAAGATTTTACACATAGCCTTTAGTACAGTCGTTTAAGAATAAAATCATATAAGATCTATTGCCAGTAAAAGCAAGCATATGTTTTCTTCCTTTCTTTTAAAAGAAGAAGAAATAGTAGCGGTTCTCGACTAAGGATAATATCTTTTGGCATGAAATTTACGAATATATATATACTCGCTGTCTAAAAAGTTTCAACCTTTGCAAAAAAAGGACTAAAAAAAACATTGCTTTTACTCGATTCTGTCAATGGAATATACCATGCAACACACACCTTCATCACAAAAGACACGTAGCTTATGTGAGAAAAGTAATTCCTACAAATATGAGCCCATAATTTATAAGGATTTTACGGATCCCGAGCCAGGCCATATCTTATTAGTAGTTGGAATGAAATCTAGCAACTGTCAGGCACATGATTAAGAGAATAAATGAAATAGGACTACCAGAGTTAATAAGAGGGCTAGGAAGGTCCAGAAAGGCTTATGAGAGAACAGAAAGACACCTTGTTTAATTAGTTATGAGGGACCCCTTTTGCCTCCTACTCTAGACAAAAAGCCCCTTAAAAGAAGATGGCGGTTTATTTCTTTGTAGAAGGACAATAATCAGCTGTCTCAAGCAATTTTAGGCTTTGGATAATATACCGAAGGATATAAGTCAGTTTTAACAGAAAGCTACAAGAAAAGGCGGTTGAATTGAGCTTGAGAGCATGTCAATTGGGCCTATGACAAGTGGAAAGATGTAATTTGGCTCGGTGAAACATGAGTTACAATCAAATATAATTATGGAAAAGTTAGAGCAATTAAGAGATTTGAGAAAAGGCATAAAAAAGATTGTCAAGGGAACCAAGTGAGAGAAGAGTGGTGTAGTTATCTGAAGCTATTGTTAGGCTGGTAGTTTTAGTGGTTTTTGGTGTTTCTATATGGGGATGTAAATCAAAACCAATATGTAATCACCTCGGCTCAGACCTCCCTCCCTTTATCCCTAAAATGTTTTGCAAGAACAGAATAGGCACTTTGCGTTCCAAGAAGACAACGCCAGCTATCATTCTGGGTCATATTCGAGATAGTGAAAAACCAGTCGTAAGATCCGGGAACTTGACTAGTGATCAGTGCAAATCCTGGATCTTAGCCCTATTGAGCATCTCTGATAGTGAATTTGAGAGAGCGTATGAGTGATGAAAGGCGTCAGTACCAACAAAATTTGTTATTTGAAGGCTGCAATTCAATTAGTAGAAAATGATAGATATCAAACTGGCATCAAGTTTGGAAGACAGAATGGAACATCGATACCAAGCTATAGTCGAGGTCAAAGGAAGTCATACCAAATATTACTCTTACTTTAAGTATATTTCAATAATAAACACACATTAAATCTTACATTTGAAGTTTGAGTTCTTTAGCTATTATTGCTGATGAGCAATTGAATGTTGAATACATGCTATGCTTTCTCTCCTGTATTTTGTGGGCTCAGAGTTCCAAACCTTTTTTCCTGTTATTAATAATAATTAAATAAATAATATTGCTGTAATAAAGTATATAATTTATATTAAGATAATGAGGTATTTGAAGTACAAGTTAGTCTTTCTTTTGGCTTATTGTCATATGTGGATGTACATACGCTTTGACTAATGTGCCCTTACCATCATTTAATCAACGGGGCACAATACTCAAATTACATTTTACCATGAGAGTTTAGAGATCCACTTTATACTCTCCAATTAAAAAACCCAAATTGATATCTTTTGGTTTTGGTTTTGGTTTTGGTTTTGATCAATCAATCAATCAATTAATTTAATCTATAGAAAAGCCGTTTTTTATATCATTTTTAATTAGTAAAGATTACCAGTGGCTGTTAGATGTCTTGAAATGAAAATATATATTTGGATGAGCATATACCAAATGTTTGAGCTTGGCTTTTGTGGTATAGCTGTCCAACTGAATAGCAAGAAAATGAATACATATAGTAAAGAAGATTTATTGAACTAATTGAAGTTGTTTCTATAGCTATAAAGTTACTTTTTAGTTTACTTTGATAAGTGATACAAAAGAACGCCTATGTATGAAATCCCTTGCGCCAATACCAGCTTGATTGAAGTGACCATTTCTGACTGACTTTATTCAGCAAAAGTATATTTGTGTTTGTGTATTGGGAGTAATCAATCCAAGTCACTATGCGTTTACCAGTCAATTATCGAGAGTTTCTTTATCTAATATCTTTAAAAAATATATATATTAATAAGGACGCAAGAAATGTCTTCAAACAATTAGCATCTAGGTTCTTTTATGAAGAAGAAGAAAAAGAAAAAGGTGTAACAATCAATTGCCTTCGGAAGACAAGTCCCGACTTTCAAATAAAGGAGGTTTGGTGACCAAGACTCTTCTACAAGTCACACTGCATTCTGAATGCTTCATGTCAAAGAATCAATTAGATATAAGTTAGTTTGATTAATTAATATTTAATAACATTTATTTCTCTCATTACCTCTATGATACAATGGCAACAAGACTACCACTAGAGATCCTCGAAGATATTGCAAAACATCTCTATGAAAAAGACTAGAAGAATTGTGCCCCAGTTTGCAAACAGTGGAGAGAACCGTTTCTAACCGCTTATTGGGCTAAAATTGACATTAAGAGTGAGACTATAAAAAAGTATTCGACGAATTTGGCCTTAAAGAGGTCTATTAAAGGAATGCACATCGAGTGCGTGATCTGAATATCCAATTTCATGAAGATGCCTTGAAATATATTTCAGTATTGCAGCAAGCATATCCCAGAATAAAATATCTTTGCTGCCGTGTTAATGGCCTAAATAAATTAGCTGCAAAAATTGATTGGAGAATTTGGAAAGCATTACTACGCCTGAAACTAAGACTTTGTAAAATAAAACTCGAGATGAATGAATTTCTTGAACAACTGTCATCGTTGACTTGTCTTGTCCACCTTGCGATTTACTACAGAAATCATGATATACACCACTACGATACTTCCCTTACCGCTATTGAATCAATTCACAGCTACTTTCCACGCCTACAATATATCAGTATAGATGCTGTATTTAAGTCAATATCCGGAAAAGAAATCGAAACAATAAGAAACGTCGAACCAGCACACACTGTTACCAAGATTGATTTATGTTTTCCGTATATTGATCCATCGTGGATATTTTACTTTGCCCACAAGTATCCCAATCTAGTCACTTGCAATTTAAGCTCATATGATGATCTAGACTACAATAATTCACCACCTTCTGATGACAAGCAGAAATATCAGAGTCAACTTCAATTACTGTTATCCGCCAAGCAATTCTTTCCTTGTCTACAAAAAATAGACACGAGTGTCTACGACATTAATCCCTGGCCACAATATTTATTTTATGACGCTCTTCAATGCTTTAACGTAAAGATCAAGGATGTTACAATTGAATTTTGGGAGAAGACATCAAAAGTGGCTAATCCAAACACGTGTATCACATATTTTTCTGAATCAGTGAATAACTTGCTCATCAATTATAACCATTCCAGCCTGGCTAAACATAAAGAAGAAAAATTACTCGCCCATTTCAACAATTTAACTGTATTGAAGATAGAATATGGTGGCTATATGAACATGGAGAATATTTTGGATCATTTTCCAGACTTGCAATCATTATATATATATTATACAGAGATTTGTTCCCCAAAATATTCACAGTCTACACTCTTACCACACCCGCTACAGGCACTGGAATATAGTGAAATAGGAATCGATACACATGTTTTTAGATACATATCTTCCCGTTGTAGACAGCTGAGATATATGACATTGGATGAGATCTATTATCATCATTCTGACATTGAAGAAACCGGACAAGTACTTGTGGATATGCCCTTTTCACAACTAAAATGGTTAAAAACATACGATTACGGATCTACTTTTGAATCGCACCCTAAAAATATTATCATTGAACAAATGGGGAATGCTAACAGCGATCAAGGACGAACGCCTCAATTAAACTGGTACCATGTGTGCGTTGACGGTATGCACGAAATGTACAGATTATCTGCGTGGGAACTTGGAAGGCGTGACATCAAACTTGCACAGAGATACCTTAAATGCTTTAGACGAATAAAATGAAGGGAAAAGATAGGAGAAGACACGAAGGAATCTAAAAATTGCTATAGGCTAAAAATGTTTTGGAAAAGAGATCTTCAGGATGATGTCTTGCTAATTCGATTCAAATCTGTTGAAACCTGTTTTATTCAAGACGATGAAGAATATGAATATGTTTTCTCATCAGAACCACAGCCAGAATAAGAAATAGAACAGTTTATTTTGGCTTATATTATAATCCAATAAATAAGTATCTGTAATAAAGTGTATTTTATATAAAAAAATGGTGAAATATTTGTAATGGTAGTAAGACTTTCTCTTGATTTATTATCATATATTGAAGTACATACACTCTGATTGAAGTGTCCTTACTACGCTCTCACCAGATTAACGACCGTTAAGTTGATTGATTTCTAGTCCTTTAAAACTAAACGTCAACTTCTTTATGCTACATATTCTAAAGGACTCTACTGAATAAAATGAAGCTTTATCCTGTCATATACAGAAACATGTATTCTTTAAATAAACAACAAAGGTCCAATATATGGTGTGGTTACTACGAGCTTTGATCACTTGTAAAAAAATAATAACCTTTTGGGTTGACTATCTCTCACGTCTGAAGGATCTTGGCCTTGTGAACATGACAATTGTCTAAAAATCCTTTTCTCTTTTGAGCTTTGGCTCATAGCATACTAAGCGTGCTCAATTGAGCTACAATAAAAGGTTTTCCAAAAGAAAAGGACAAGAAAATAAGTTGTGATAAAAGGAAAGAAATAAAGATTTGTTTTTTTTTCTTGGAGAAATGACGCTGTTTTATTTGGTTGGTGTGTATGCATATACAAGCGATTTGTAATAACATGTATTATTTAAACTAGTTGATTCGAGTTCATTGAAGATAATGCTGACAGAATAAGGCTGTGAATGATTGGCGTGGGAAAGACATATAAAGATATAAATAAATAGTGTAATAAAGAAAGAAAGAATGGTTAACATATAGTATAGATCGTGAGGATCGATGGTTTGGATATAAACATTATTCGTAAAGAAGAATAAGAATAAGAAGATAAAGGTAAAGAGAGAAAGAGATTGCAGAAAGAAACTATTCAGTAAGTCTTCCTAGTAAAACTCTCGCAAGTTGTGTATTTGCAGTAACGTTCGTTTTTGCTGCTCCAAGAGTTGGATCACTCAATGCAGGGAAACCAAGTTCTTCCAGGTAGAGTCTTTGGCTTCGTCGATCCATAGATTGGCTGAATGCAGGTTCAGAGCAGGCAGTTGTAAGTATACTCTTGACAGCTTCGATAACTGCATAGTTCTGGCTGCTTACTACCATCTGGTTCATCTTTGGAAGGAGTGACTCATAACTTAAAGACAAATATTTTGTTTAACAAAAAAAATCAGTAAAAAAAATCAAATCCAATCTAATATAATATAATACGATCCCAACTTACACAAGCGCAAATACTTCTGGTATAGCTATAGCTGCCTCGGCAAGGAAACTATAGAGGAAAAGTCTTTCTGCTTCATTATCTGCCGAATTGAGCATGTTGACAAGCAAAGATACAAGCAGTAGGGCAGTAGTATTGTCTGGGATTTCCAATGTGTCAAATATTCTCACATATGATGACGAGAATTCGATACTATCTAGATCTACATCGTTGATACCAGCCAGACGAAGTAGTTCCCGGAGTGCGTTGTTTTTAGCAGCAATTGGTAGCAATCCGGCCAGATAACCTAGAGTTCTTGCTTCAACTATATATTGCTCTGCTGAACGCTTACAATCGATCTCCAAAAATGTAGTCAAACATTGGAAAACGATGTCTTTAGGGTCACAGTTCTTGATTCCCTTGAGCAGAATTCCAGCCACTGCAAACGAGAAATGACTTTCGAAGCTGACGCCGCTCATGACATCAAGCTGGTGTGCAATATCTGCAAATGGCTTACGAGCCTCTAGAAGGACCTCAACCATACCACGATTCTGGAACATCTTACGGGCATCGAGTGCACGTAAAACCGACTGTAAAAATTCAACTGCGGTAGAGAATGTGGCAGGGAAGCTCATCTGAACGAGTGCAACTGCAAGCCAGAAAAGTGGAAGTAAATAACGAGAATCGGCTGGCAGATTGTCGATTATGTTTCTGAGACACATCATGATACTGATCATCAAGCTTGAATCAAGTGAGTTAAATATAGTAAATGCTCCCTGTAGAGCGACAAGAATCTGGTAAATCAGATCATCATCAACTTCATCTTGAGCCAGACAACCAAGGATAACTAATGCTCTGGGCTGGATCGCAGGGTTAAACTGGAATGCGGTGCTCACAACAAGACCCATCCAGCGCGCTCTCCACATATTTGCAACATCTAATTGATAACACGAGTTATGTTACCAATGTGTACCTATTCTTTCTTTTATATACATACCTGTGGATGGTGCACCAATGTTCAGTGCTTCCAACAAAATACGAGCAATATTCTCAAGAGAGGACAAGTTGATAGTTTCTGATAATTCATGCATAGTATCTTGTGTAATCGTAAAAGCCTTGGCATGGTGCTTGGTCAGTCCAAAGTAGACACGGTTCTTACTCTCGCACACGTCGTTGAGCAAGAAATGAAGTTTCTTCATTCTCTCTTCGCCAATTGGCATTCCAGTGCACAGAGTGTGGATGACATTTACAACGAGTTCATGTACAGACGCACGCACAAAATTTGATCCCGTAGCTGCCAGCAAAGAGACAATATGGAAAATCTCGGGAAGGTATGGTTTTACAGGGCCAACATTGTTGAAAGAAAGCATAAGAACGAATCGAAGGAGAACAGAAATCTCGGGCCATGCAGGATGTTTTGCGAGAGTTTCACAAGGGTCTGTAGAAGTATATTGTATTATCTTGAAATTCAAGAAAGTAAATCTTATGTTTTCTTGAAAGAAAGAAAAGACCGTAATTAAGATATTTTTGTTGTTGTTGTTTAATTACCTTGCGTAGTCTACTGACAACCTTTCCACGTACGGTGACACTTGTCATGGTAACAAAAGTATCAGCCATAGATTCTGCTTGAAGAGATCCTACACCATGGTCTACAGAGTACTTTACAAACGCATCAAGAATTGGATCTATCATGCTATCAACCTGAGCCAAAGTCTTCCACACTTTAGCTTGTATGTGTTTGTACATCTATAAAATGAATTTTAAAAAATAAAGGTGATGATATTATGAGTGATATGTATCCTTGATATGTATAGTTTGATTTGAATAACTTACGTCTACTTGCTTGACAGTCATTTCGATTAAAAGTCTTAGTACGTCTCTTGTCTTTGATGCATTCTTGGAACCTTCTCCACTGATTCCTCGTCCCATTATGCTCAAGTTTTTAAGCCACGGAGCCATATAATCCAAGCACAGTTGTCTCATGCCATCGTTTGACTTGTTAAATCCAACAAAACATTCATTGATAAACTCGAGAGTTAAGTGAGACTCAGTACTGGCCAGGCTTTCACTGATACTGATAATAAAGTCGGAACTGTTGGTGGGAATGCATAAATCTATAAAGTTGTACAAACACACACACACACACACGTATATATACATATATATATATATATATATTAGTTTTATGGGAAATATTAAAATGTAATATAAATTCACCTTTTACGTTCAAGAGCTGATTTCCAATGTCAAATCTGAATGACAAGCTGAGGGAATATAGCAAATTATAGGCAGACAGACGCAGCACAGGATCATCACTGCCAATATTAAGCAAGGCCATGTTTAGCAGACGTCCTGGCACATCACTAGGTCTGATAGCACGCTCATTCCCTCCCCCAGGCTTTGATGTTTCATAACGCTGTTTTCTGTAGCGAAGAAGCTGTAATGTAGGATACAGTTAAAATGGAGAAAAATAAAAATAAAATAAAATATGTAATCTTGAGGTTTTTCTCTTTTACACTTACAGAAAGTAAAGAATCACGTTTTGGCGAAGAGAGAACCATGGTTGCCTTTCCGTGATCGTACTTTATGGATATATCGCCTCCATTTTCACTTCCTGATGACGAGGTGGCAATCATGTCTTCAAACTCTGATATATGGTACACTTCCTTCATTTGACTGTTCAGATTGTACACGATCTCCTGTTTTCGAACCTGTGATTACATTAAAATCCACAGTGTTTTATTTCAGTCCTTATTCTCTTTAATGATATTATTCCTCCTCTCAAGATCTTTAACTTACTGTGATTATGTGAACATATAGCTGTCCAACCTTAACAATAACTGGCACAGCTGATTTCAAGTTTGTTAATCTTGTTACAGGGAAAAATACAGTGGTTTTCTCTTCTTCCATATCAGCTATATATAAAAAGTGTATTAGATACTGAAGGTTGGCTGCCTTTTTTTTTACTTTATACAAACTTACTTGTCAGTTTTGGAAGTCTTACTTCGGAAGGAGTAATGTGTTCATGTAGCTCACTAAGTCCCAATATAAAACGAGTTCTCTTGACAAGCTTGTTGATAAGCGCACGAGGAACCTTTTTTAGATAGCGTGTGAGGTGCTGGTTTGGACCGTAAATATAAAGAGTGACAAGGTAATCGTTCATTTCACTAAAGACAAGCTTGAAGAACTGTGTCATCCAGCTGGGAGGAATCTCGTTCGATGACTTGAATTGGGTCACTTCAAGAATTAACTCGAAAGGATGATTGAGATATGGTTCCATTACCTATTTATTAATTAGTTCAAAAGATGGGTTATCACTTGTTCTCCATTTATGGCTTACTCTTAGCATATAGTATATCAACAACTCAAAATCACAGGTTTCTGCATCCACATTTCGGGCAATGAGGTAGAATACCGGGTGTCCTCCTTTACTCGAACCGCCTTGGAAAAATATGTTCTTAGAGCTGATTGAAGCAAGATCACGATGGTTATTACGACGGACAAATTCACTGTAATAATGATTGTTGTTTGTGAAGGCATAATTTCGAGCTATGAACTGCTCAGTATGAGAGGCCTCGGAAGGTCGACCAAGTTGGCCAAGCAGATTTGTTAATCTGTCGATTGTCTTTTTTCTTTCAAGTATAGAAAACGTATTTGACGAATCGCTAGATTTTCTTCCAGCCAGATCTCTCGACATACGCTCCAGATTGTCCGCAAGTACCCTATGCATCCTAACAAAACTTGCTTCATCCATCCGTATACTGTTATTCTGGTCTTCCTTGCCATCATCAGGCGACACGGTTGATATCAGACGAAGGAAATTGGTAACATTATAGATGTTGTTTGTCAAAAAGTCATTGAACACAATCATATGGGTTTCCTTTCCTCCAAACAAAACATTGTTGGCCAAGTTCTGCATCACACGTGTGGCCTGAAGCTGTATCTTGGCAACATTCTTGTTGCGAGGTAAGGCTTGTTTAGAAAATCCGGCATGCTCTGGAGTCAAGATTGCAGGTGCAAATAGACGTAAAAAGACAAATCCTCCTACTGCCATGTATTTCGATTCAGGATACCGTTCACGAACTGCTTCTCCAATAAGACAGAGTTCTTGTCGGAATGCTCTATAGAAATAAAAATAAAAATATTATGTTTTTGAGATATTTCCTGTAAATTGTGTGCACGTCTACATACCTTGGAGCATTTGGTACAGATGAACAAATTGCCTTTAGCAAGAGCTCTGTGGCATTTACAATGTTCCTCTTGTTTCTAGAAGCATCGTCATCAGGACCCATCTTTTGAGGATCCAATTCCCAAGTGAGTTCTGAGTCTCCCAAGCTATTAATGGCTTCCATCGCAGGCTGAAGTGTGATGCGGATATAGTCGATACATGTCATGGTTGCGTACATTGATAGAATACGAGTGGGCATGGTAGTACCGCGGAAAAGCGTAGATTCTTGCTCTTTTTAGATAAATGCATATGCGCATATTAATACCATTCACTTGTCAATGTGTCTTGTATGCGTTTTTACCTGTCATGTCTACTTCTTTTTTGATCAAGGCCGTTAAAAATGGAACAGTCTTTTGGCGGGAGTCAAAACAGAGTAAAAGAACTTCCGCAATCTCGGATGCTTCTGTAGCGGGACTAACATCGCAAAGAGACATTGCTAAATCCATATCATCCACCACAATCATCTACCAACCGGCACAATGCATGTATATAAGACATTTGTCACCCACAGAAATAGAGAAAATCCATTGAACTCTTAATGGTCAAGAGAAAAATTTTACTTACATCTACAAGCTTTTCATAGCGATCTGTCATCACATTCTCTGCTAGTGTCTCAAACTCGGTTCCTTGGTTCAATATGTTTGTCAAGACTTGCATAAATGCAGTTCTTGTCCGGACATCCTCATGGTATCCCATAGATAGCGAGTATTTTAGTCCAGCGTCAATGTTGGCGCTCAACAGATTCGACATTGCCAGAATGGTATATTCTTTTAATTGTGCCCATTCATGATAGTTCTCAGGCTATGTAAAGTAAGTTTGTATGTGTTTTGTTCTTTCTTTGGACGCCTTGTCATCGAGTGTTGAGACAACGGATATATTTACCTTTGAAGTTCCAGTAGAAACGTCTCTTGAATCACGTATGGTCGGAACGCTACCGGTCTCTATCTAAAATGTTTAATTAATTAATTAATTTTTTTTAAAAAAAAAACAAAAGCCATTAAAATTTGTGTGTGTGCGTGTGTGTATTTTTTTGTCGTGCTTATATACCCCCTCTTACCTCGCTTAAACGATATCGGTTCAAAAGCTTCAGGAAAAACGAAAAGTACTTGTAAAACAAGCGACTCTTCAATTGTGAAGGGTCACCCTGTCTTCCATTCTCTGAAGGCTGTAAAGGAAGCTGATGAAGAAGACCGACAATGGCCTTGAGACAAGCATGGTCAAGATCTCGGTTAAGTTTGTCATTTTGAAGCACATCCTGCTAAGTAAAGCAAAACAATAGAAAAAAATCAATGGGTTTTTAGTAATTATTCTTGTCTCCCTCTTCTTCTTCCTCCGTTTCTCTCTCATTAAATAATATACTACTTCTAAACCGATATATCCCTCTGGTTTGCTTCTTCCTTTTTGTTTTAAAAAAAAACCTACCAGTGAGAAATCGCTTGTCCATTCAACAATGATTTCCAGCAATCTGTTTCGCAGCTTAATCTCGGTTCTGATGACAATTTGTTCTTTCTTAGCCATCAAAGCTTCAACTAAATGACAAATCTTGATCTTGATACGAAGTACAACATAGTTGCTTGGAACTTTGTTGAGATACTTTGCAAACTGATGAATGAGTGTACTGAAATCAATATTCAACAAAGAATCTCCGGGTTCTGCCAAACGATCCAAAATCATCTTGAGCACCAGGACAGCTTGTTCTACAAACAGCGTAGACTGTGCACCACATATTGCTTCTCCTGTTGAATCAAAACATTTGGCCATTGCGTCCTCAAGATATCGGAACAATATGGCGTAAAGCGCAGGCGAAAGATCATTTCCAAGTGTGTCCTTGACACCCTCACGAATAAAAACATTTTCAGAAACCAACAAATCAACCATGTCTTTCATAAACTTGTCGGCAAGTATAGAGGGCTCACTAGGGGCCGAGATTCGGCGTGCGTTCATTTGCGACTGTTCTAACGACCGTGTACGTCCAGCAGGGTCATTACCATAATCCGAATCAGTTGCCAAACAACATCCGCCCAGGGCCGCCAAAAAGCCAGTATAGTTTTGCCACTCAACTGGCTTGTCTTCCTCCGAGTCCATATAGCTAAGAGGAGATGAGGTATTTCTTCCCCCTTGGCGATTGGGGAAACCGTGTTTTCTCTCATTTGAAGCTTCGGAACCATCCTCAGAAAAGCGACTTACGGTCTGTGTCAGGACCTTCCAGCGTTTCCAAGCCTCTTCCCATGCCGCTAGGTTTCCTGGCGTGTGGCGTGTGATCATTCTCATGTATTTCCTAATACTCTTTTGCTGAGCCTTTCGCCCAATAAACACCTTGTCTTCGTCTGCAAGGTCAGTGTAGATCGGAAGATTACACAAGAGAGTGATCTGATTGAGCTGTGGTTCTTCTTCTTCCATCGTCAGCTCTCCTTCTATACAGAGATATCCAAGGCATCTGATTGCATAGGAACAGATGTGACGGTCAGAAGAGCAGAGGGATACCAGCAACGCAATTTCAAGGGCAACAAATGCCTGTAGCCGCTCTCTGATGTTGGATCCTTCAGTCGCATTGTCCTAATGTATCACATATCAGATTCGAGTACTCTTCCCCCCCTCCACACACACACACATATATATATATTTTTATGTAACCTTTCTTTTGATATCTAGTTGTACCTGATATTTTCGCAAGAAATCATTCCGTGCTATCAAGAGCTTCATCAAGAGTTCCAAAAGAGACTTTGGACTTTCTTCGCTTTGCTTGCTGTCCAGTATCTGACGTGCCAGTGCAAACACAATCTGGGAGGAAATGCGCCAGAAATTGACTACGTTACTGTTCCGGGGACCCCATTGAGATATATGAGAGGTTGTGTGTAGTTTGGCGAGACATTCCATTGCCGAGTGTCGCACGGACTGGTCGGGGTGTTGAATCAGGTTGGCTACACCTGTCATAAAGGCAGTGTTCTGTTCCACGCGGTCACTGTCATTGCCCTATAGAAAGAAAGTGTGTTTGTATGTGTTGGAGAGATAAAAAAATAAAATAATATATATATATATATCCTTTGTTTTATAAAGAAAGAAAAAATATGCCTTACCAATAAAGCCAAAAGGGGATCGATCTTGAACAGACGCAACATATCTAATAGCAGCTCTATTCTACTTTGTGCCATGGCTGCAGTTTCTTTTTTGGTATTCTTTCTTTGACCGCTGAGTATGGTAGAAAGATCAAGCTTCAGGGTCGCACCAAGCTCGATTCCAATAGTTTGCAAAAAGAGACGTCGGAGGATAGTGCAGAGAGGGTCATACATGGAGGAGATAGTCGGGTTCCATGGAAGGCGATCTTCATCCTGGGTGATGACAAGACAAGCTTTGACAAGAGCAAACTTGAAGGTGATCGGCACATTCTCTTCAAGACAGGGAGGAATAAGGGTGACTAGGGTATTTTTGGGGTCTAGACGCATACGCGCAAGAAGGTATTCGGTTGCCAGGGTCTTCATATCAATATAAAAGTCGGGATTCGGCAGGCTGGATTCAGTGGTAGCCGAACGAGAGAAATCCCAAACTCTGTCCTTTAGGTCGTCCTCAATATCAGCTACAATGTGACGCAAGACAGATTCATCCGCGGGAGGTACATAAGTAGCTGCCTTACATAGATCGACATAACACACCGCAGCAATGTCGGCTGTGCGTGGGTTTCTTAGAGCAGTTCGTAGTATACCGAGGAAAGTTGACTAGGATTTGCAAACACAGACAGAGAGCGGCCCACGCACAGATACACAAAAGCGGAAAAGTTAATTTAAATGCTTTCTTTTTTTCTTCTTCTTCTTTGTACAAGGCCCGACTCCAAATCCAACATTCAACATCCACTCACTCACACCCACACCAAAAATTTAAATAAAACAATAGCAAATACAACAAATTCAAATCCAAATCCACAAAGCCTTCAGCCACCAAGCCACCAGCCTTTAGCCTTTAGCCTTACCCTTCTGTTCTGGGTCGTAGGATCATTCAAAAAGGCTTGCAACAAAAACTCTGGCGAAAGAACCAAAAGAATTGTCTGAAGTGGCCAAAGAATGGCTTTTTTACTGATGTGGTCAGTAGCTGAGCTACACATGTCAAACAACACTTCTGCTCCACTGAGTATTCTGCTCTGGTTTTCGGATACTTCCGCAAATTGAGAAGGATAGGTTTCAATCCAGCGCCAGATAGCCTTTCTCATCATCTTTGAAAACAGCAGTTTTCCTTGACGCTCCATGGGAAGAAAATAGGGACTCAATTCTGAAAACAGGTAAGCCTTTTTATATATATATACAATTCAACAAACATACAGACAAGCAAACAAACAAACAATAGTAATACTAAGGATCGTTTTTTTTTCTTCTTCTTCTTTACCTGAGAGAACCATTTGTAAACGTTGTCTTGTCAGACAACTGGACTCCAACATACGTATCTCGGGGGGACTGAGTTCATTTAGATCCTTGATTGCCCCCAATACCTGAACCACACTTTTGATCTTGGCATAGTAAGTAAGCCAGTTGCTTGCGCTTACATAATATAATACTCGGCCGGCAGCCTTGTAGATATCCATGACAATATTGGCTGTTGTAGGCTCAATGTGAGGCAGGGGTTCATTTGGATACTCCAATGCGTTCAATTGCTGTTGTTCGATAAACTCTTCTACCAAGTGAGCCTGGTTGAGGAACCGGCCCATCAAGACAAGGATAAATGTGACGAGCGCTTCATCTAAAGGGGGTAGATCAATGGATTGAGCCATAGACTTTTCGTCTGTGATTTGGGGAGACTCGGAATCATTGTAGATGCCTATGGCCGCATCAGCAGCAGCGGCTTCTAATGAAAGTGAGGCCGTTTTGGCTACAATTGATCTTTCTTTTGACAATTCGCGGTAGCATTTCCACTGATGTTGCATACATGCTGACAGTAAGCGAAGGATAAAAAGCTGAGACTGAAGGATATCAAAGGGTATGGTTTGTTCTATAGCGACTGCCGATGTGGCTTGATAGTTCTAAAAAAAAGCAAAGAAAAAAAAACAATCAGAGTTTAGTTGTACCATGGGGCTTTTGTCTTTTGGTTCTATACATTGGAAACATTCTCCAGGACAGTTCCAAGAGCATTGGCAATTGTTGATAGCTTGTATCTAGATAATTCAATGATTGCAGCCACTATATAAAAAACCATGTTTATTGTAAGTACATAATATTTATATACGCAATTTTTTTTATTTCCCTGTTTCTTTTAAAGAAATGTATATATTTATAAAGCAGTAAGTTTCTCTTTTTTTTTTACCTGTCTGTTGTACAATCGGGTCCTGTTCGAGGCTCTCTAACTTTCTTCCGCTGTTGATAGGCAGCTAACATAATCAAGTCAGACACGATCGTCGGGAATCAGAAGGAAGCTGATCTTACTCGCACAGCGACGCGGTTAATGAGGCTCGAAATGAGTTTTGTGTTGGAGCGCATGTTGTAACAGAATCAAATATATATATATAGTTCGGGAGTTGTATATCAATGGTAGAGAGAGAGAGACAATGAAGTAGGTCGAGATTGTTAACTAGATTTCGATCGTTGCATAAACAGGAATAAGGCGGGTGGGAATCTATTCGAAGGCACTGAATGTAGGTACGAAAAAGAAAAATAGTCTCTTTTTCTTTGTTTCTTTCTAATATAAATATAAATATTATAAATATAAATATATGAAAAAGAAAGAAAATAAAGGCAATATTAAAGAAGTAATTGAAAGAAAAAGGTTAGCCAACAAGCAAGCAATAAAAGAATAAAGAAAGGAAGAGTAAGACAGAGAGAGAGAGAGGAGGGAAAGGTTGAAAAGAGGGGAAAGTGGGAAAGTAGTCGAGAGTAATTTTTTTTTAAGAGGCCTGAGAAGCCGACAGGATGGCTATTTGTCTTCTGACTTTAAACGAGGGACCCCCCCAATTGAACAAATATTTGTACCATTTTTGTCCTCTTGAATAATCATCTTTCTGGGTTATCCACTTCATCCTCTTTTTGTATTTATTTATTTATTTATTCGCAAGAATTACATATATAAAATAATGTATATACACAGTATATATTTGTACTTTAAAGCGCACAAACCATATTATGAATAAAAGGTTACTATATTCCAGATAAGCAAATTTGTACATAATTGTATGTATGTATATAAATATAAATATATACGGAATAAATATTCAATATTCAATAAAATGATAATAATGTAATGCATTTAATTCAAGATCATTACTGCAGAAACCGTGATAATTTTTTCATTTTGTTTTTAGTTCAATGGTTCAAATTACCGCCAGCAGCACAAGAAAAACCTGAGCAACAGAATCATTGGCGATGCATTTATGAAAATATTCAGTGTTGAATTGAATGTAGTACCAAAGTTTGTATATCGTCTTGTTGAATTACTCGTAAAAAAAAAACTCCACACTATAATTGAACCCTTTTTTGTTATTTTACTCTTCATTTTTTTCTTAGTAAATATTTATAGACGTGCCTTAATTAATATTATGTAATATTATATAAGGGTTCCCTTGAACATCTTAAGCTCGATTTGGTGCACTCGAATCAGGTATTGAAAGGATAAAATATATGTATATTCTTTTTTTTATTATTTATATTTGTAATACTTTTGGATTATTAATATAAATAAAATAAAATAAAGTAAAGTAAAAAAAAAAGGTACAAACAATGAAAGTCCCAATATATATATATATATAAAACGAGTGACATTTTACCGGGTGGTTTAAAGATATAGGAACAATACTTCTTTGGGATCAATGTGAGACGAAATAAACTAAAGGGAGCAGTACCATATGGCTATTACCAGAGACAAAAAGGCAAATTGAAAGTCTTTTGTTTTTCAGCTTTTACAAATGTAGTGTTAATAATAAAAGGTTTCGAATATACGATAGATGTTGATTTGAATATGCATTCGTTGTATATTCAAGGATGATTTAGGGTGCGGAGAAAGATGGTATTTGGAATCTGAACAAGTATATTCAAATGTGGATCCACGTCATATGCACCATCTATAACTAGATGGGACTAGTGAGCGGGAGGAAAAGGCTGTCCAAAGCAATAATACATGTGGAGCGGATTAAAAGAGCAAGAACATAAGAAGAATTAAGACAGACAATCAAAAAAAAATATAGCATCAAGTTTTGCAGTATCTATCAATATAGAGATCTCCGAATACCAAGAACAGACATAGGTTTATGACAAGTAACGGCATATTTAGGGAGGAATAATGGCTAGAGCAAAACTAGACTGGTAGGTGACCACGAGGAAAGAGCTATGTAAAAGAAGCTAAGAGTAAATATAGCTATATAGCTCATCTTTTACACTTGTAAATTAAATAGCTCAAGATCACCAACAAACCCGAGGGATAGAAATTGTCACAGACTCTACTATTGTTAATCGTGTCCAAGGTTTGCTTATGAATTATAGCCTTGAAACCTAAATTAGAAAGTCTTGATGTTATATAAGTTTTGTAGAAATAAGCATTGGCGCTGTTTACATTAAAATCTATACTATCTTAAAATTTAGGTCTCTTTTGTGCGTTTCTTGAAAATGAACGAGTATTCAGGAACACATGAATAAATGTAATAGAAACCTCCCCTTTAAATGATACTTATTATCATGATTAGATACTTGAATAAGAATAAACAAGTAATTATATACTAGCCAAGAATTAGAGTTTTATTAAAAAGTAATCTAAAGTATTTCTTTGTTTGATATGATTTACAATTCAAATCTAAAGGCATCTGTCCAGCACAGAAATACATGGCTAACATTGAATATCAGCTTGATCTTTTATCATTAATATTATCACTCTATCGAAAGAGTATATCTTTGCAAATTAAATGTATCATCAAGGCTTGCTTAACATTACCATGTATTCGAGCTGTCATAAGATTATTATTAGCTCAATTTTGTTCCAGTAGCCTAATATCCATATAGTTGGTCTAGACAGATCAAAAGTATCAAGAGAGAAAAAATGGTAGCAATTGCAACTTTGAATATATTTTTAGTTTTTTTTTACAAAATATATATTGATCAATTTATAAGGGTAGAAAAAAAAAGTTAAAATGTTTGGCTAAACTCATTTTGTTCGTTTTTTTTTTACAGACCAAAATGTATTAAAAACTACCAAATTCCAAAAAGCTGCCAATGGAAGAAACCCTATTTAAGCCTGATCATCATCACATGTTTTAAAACGGAAATATTATTGGTCTCAAGTAGAACAACCAATATGAAGATGGCAATAAAATAAAATAAAATAAAATAAAATAAAATAAAAGGATGGTTTGAAATGGAAAGATGTGATACTGTGAATCCTCAAACCAATCAAATAAATCTTGTGCAAATAAAATACCTCAATTCTTAATCAAACCTTCTTTCCCACTAGCACGGGTAACAAGTCAAGGTAATTGGAACAGTGTATTTCCCTCATCAGTACGAATTTTGCATATAAGCCTGCAAATGGATCTTGAACATTCAGTGTTGTAAGCTTATAATAAATTCGGTTATGCAATCAAATTATGCTTCCTCAATGGTGTATTTTATTTTTTTCAGCTATTGCTGCTATTGTGCTGTGGTGGATACTTGTGCACTGTACATTTTCAAGTTTCATTGTATCTGTACACATTTCCCATATAAATGTCGTTGTGTGAACTTGGGATATAGTGTGTTTTGATACATTAGAAAAAGAAATATCAATAAAAGTAGTGTAGTCTATTTGATTCTGATCATTAGCACATGTTTCAATACATGGGTCAAATTGGTTTTAAGCAAAATAAGAATTAAAAAAAAAAGAAAAAGTTCATATCAAGATGGTAATGAAATTAAAGAATGATTTGAAATGCAAATTTGTGATATATAAATCTTGAGAAATAAATGTATAGGGCTGAAATGAATATATATATATATATATAAAAGAAAACAATGAGCGATAGCTCTTACTCCAGCATGTCGTCTTCTACACCATCCAAGTCTACTCTCTGTCGCTTGGCATTACGTCCGTTGTGGCTCTCTTCTTTTGCATAAGACTTGCCGGTCTTCTCTCTTAAAGCATCAATGCCATCTTCTTCTTGTGCCCATTCAAGCACCAAGTGACGACCGTACAAATGGATACTTCCCATGTTGTCATATACATTCTTGGCCTCTTGCTTGGTCATAAAGTCCAAAAAAGCAAAACCTCGGTGACCACCATTGAACTTCTTGGGAAGACGCATAGACTTGAGTTGTCCGTATGTACTATCAAATTACAGTATTAGGTATTTTCATATTCAGCTCCTTCTTTCCTTTTCTTTTTTCTTTTATTTCCTAGACTTACCCAAATAGTTCTGTCAAATCCTTTGAGGTTGCTTCGAAAGGCACGTTTCGTACCACCAGCTTGGTGGTTTCTGCCTTTGTTGAAGAAGGCTTTGCGTCTGTGTTGCGATGAGAGAACTTGAGCTCAAGAGCATGTCCATCGAGAGTATATCCTTGCATAGCAGCAAGTGCTTTGGATGCATTTTCCTTGTTGTTAAACTCTACGAATCCAAAACCCATGCTCAAATTCTTTCCAGGAACCTTGGGATCCGGCTTGACATTGATACGCGATGACCGGTAACCCTCCAAGTTGGAGAACACCTTTTTCAAAGACTCGACTGTTGTAGAGAAGCTGAGATTCTTGACAAACAAGGTTGCGACATCTGAATCATCATCCTTGGTAGAGGTTTCCATGAGTTCAGCGGCAGCAGCCTTTTTAGCAACATGTTCTTCGGCTCTCTTCTTAATAGCGGCAGGGTCATATTTATCTTTGAACAAGCCATTGGGTGCCTTTTCAAGGTAAATCAAAGAATCCTTGAAACGACGGTAGGCAAGACCTCTAAAAGCGGCACGAGCTTCGTTGTTTTCAATAAATTCGACAACAGCCATTGTTTTGGCAGGAGGGATAAGTACCTATTGAAACCATTTTTTTGTTTAATTTTTTGAAAAATAAAAAATAAAATAAAAAGAAACTCATTTGTGAAATGAGTATATCATATATATATATATTACTTACTCTGCCAAGTTCTCCAAATTTGCCAAACAGACCACGGATTTCTTCTTCACTAGTTCCAAAGGGAATGTTCTTGACCAAAATAACATTCTCACTACGATCCTTTGATCCAAAAGTGTCCAAAATAATACCGTGTTTCTCGAAAAACTCCTTTGTCTCGGTAACAATCTGTGTCTCTGCCAAGGCCAATCTAACAGCCATGTTGTCTGCATCAGGGTTCAGGACATCGGATTTTGATACGCCGAGACGATCAGCAATAGAGGCAGCAATGGCATCGCTCTAATCGATTAAAAATATAATATATATATATATATATCCAAATTAGCTCATGGTCTTATAGTTTATCTTGTGTATACATGTAGTATGATATTTTGATAGACGTACGCTCATATACAGTGAGTTCCAGTTAAAGTCACTGCCAGCCATGTTTCTACGCTTCTTTTCCTTGTCCTTCTTCACACTACTCAATTTGGTTCCATTGGGACCAAAGAACTCGTCTTCCTTTGGTGGGGGCTTTTCCTTGGAAGCCAAAATGTGCAAAAGACGACCCTGGAAGAACTTCATATCCAAAGCCTCATAAGCTTTGATTGCGTGCTCAGGCATCAAGAAAAGGATATATGCAAAACCCTTGGATCGCTTGGTATCCTTTGCAATAGGCAAATAAACCTATTTAACCACAAATAAATTTAGAAAGGCGTTCCCCTATTTTTTCTCTTCTTCTTGATTCATATCATCCACACAAACGCATACCTCTGAAATGGGACCAAATGGAGAGAACAAGTCACGAAGATCTTGCTCGGTGCAAGAGTATGACAAGTTACGAACAAACAGACGGCCAGTATCGTTGATCTGATCTTTAGGATCAACTTCGTCAGGCTTTCCTCTTACATTGGCATCATCGTCATACTTTGGCTTCTGTTCTGCGGCATCTTCCATAACTGCGTCCTCATCGGGTTTCTGTGCGCTGCCTTCACTACCTTCGCTCTTCTTGGACTTTGTCTTCTTGGACTTTGTCTTTTCCTTGGAATCCTCGTCCTCTACAGATTCTTCCATCTCCTCATCTTCGTCTTCATCGTCATCTGCAGCCTGAGACTTCTTTGGTGGCAAATCCTCATACAAATCGTCTTCGGGATCGGCAGCAAGAGCCAGCTTGTGAGCCTCATCGTCAGCACCACCATTGGCCTTTCCAAGTCCGTTAATGGGAGCAACATCGTCGTTAGCCCAGGTCTTGGTCTTGGATCTAGCTGCCATGACACTCAGATACTCTTTGAGCTTAGGATCATTCTCTTCCGCATTCTTCAATTCATTGACGTGCTGGGATTTCTTTTCCTGCTTGGCCTTGAATGCGTCTGTTTCCTCTACCTCGAAAGTGTCATTCTTTTTAGTGGTTTCGTTTACTCGATCGTGTGCTGATGTTCCTTCAGTGTATCTACTCCATGCACGAGGTAAAGTATCCGAGCCATACTAAAAGAAAGAAAAAATCGACAGTTTATACACATATATAATTATTTAATGGTTTGTAAAGAATGAAATAATAGTATATTTTTTTGCCTTAAAAAAATAAAAAAAAATAGTCTTTTTTTGTTTAATACTTACGGGAATTGCAATTTCGACACTAATTTTGGCCATGTTTATAAAAGTATTGTTAAAATGCTTCATTGCAGCTTCTGCGGCTTTCTCGGTACGGTAACCAATAAAACCAAATCTTCTGGAGGCACCCCAACTACACCAAGAGTAAAGAATAGAAAAAAAAGGGGGGGAAAGGTATTTAGTAAAAGAAACAATCGATTTTACTTAATAATTTTTTTCTCGAGGCCGTTCAATGTTTGATTCAATTAGTATTAGTATTATTGATTTTTATACATACGCTGTCTTCATTAGCTTTGCATCGGTCACCTCGCCTTTACTGGCGAAATGTTCCCGGAATTTCTCTTCGGTGAGATCTTTTGGTAGATTCTTAACAATCAAGCGAGACCTATTTGGTTTTTGGGTTTTATTAATCTCGGGCGCATTACTTTTATATATATATATATTGTTGTTGTTGTTGGGAATCTATGAAAATCGTTCTTACATTGGTAGAATACAGAACAATTATATAAAGTTTCCTACACTTTGAGAAAAGAAAAAAGAAAAAAGTAGTCCTGATCTTCAAGTCACAAAGACCGTCCCCATAGCTTTCTTAATGTAATATATATATATAAAAAATGAACCTTTGATGGACAGCTGCACTTTCTTTGAGTGTATGTGTGTTACACTAACAAGAAAATGAGAATGGTTTTGTTGAGTATAATGCTTGTTTGAATAACATGAGTCCAAAATTCTTATAAGCAAATACTTCTTTTTTGTTTTTGTTTTGGGTATAGGTTGCTGTTATAGCACTTTGACACTGATTAAAGTATTGAATCTGTTTCACTGTGAAATTAATGCTGATATGATATCAATAAAAAAGTGTATTTTGCATTTGGAATTTTCAAATGTACCAGTATCACTTTTTAGTTTCAAAGACAATGAGATATATGAAGAAGCTGTAATCAACAGGCCAAATGTTCTAATCCTATATTCAAAATTATTCTTGCTTTTGTATGCTATTTATTAAAGCCAAAATATAAAAAAAAGGCACTGTAACTTATTGAAAGAACAATAACATGTGTGTGTGTGTTAAGCACTGCTTTTCTTTAAGGGTTCATTATAAACGAGTCCTGAAAACAAAAAAGAAAGAAATATAGTACATATTCACATTTATGCAACTTGCTTGTGTACAGTGTGTAGCAAGAAAAAAAAAGCAGAAAGCCTGAATTGTTTAAAGCCTTGGATTTTTTTTTTTTGGTTGTTGTGCTTTATCTTTCTTTTTCTTTTGCTTTATCCACCATTGACAGATTTAATGAACTTCAAAAGAGACTGATCAAATCGATCACATCGAATTGGCATTTCCGGGGTATGGAAGGGATTCTTCATCACAAAATCACTGTACAGATCATAAATCTTTTTCATATAGGGTTCTACAGAAACCTGCTGTGGGTCAGTGAACAGCAAGAATTTGCTCCCTATAAACTTCGGTTAGAATCCATATACTATTACTTATTTGTTTGAAAATAGTTTAGTTTTCAAAGTATAATAGAGTACGTTACCTGTGAGTGTCTGGAAGCAAAACAATCTGAATGTGTCGGCCTCTAACATCTCAATTCCGGTAGAGCCATAGAGAGGCGAGATTTTTGACGTAATGGCATGTACACTAAAGATGATGAGAGAAAAAAAATAAAGTAATGAGAATCAATAGAGTTTTACAATACACACTCTTACCCGTGAAATGTGCCTGCAAGAACAAGATATTCATTACTCGATAGCTTCTCGAGCTGATCTCCAAAGTCTTTTTGATAAACCAGACCACCGGCCTTGTTGATGATGTAGAGCGAGAGAATCATATGATAAGATCGCGTATTTCGTTTTTTTTTTTTAAAAAAAGAAGTTACCGAGTAAAGGGAGGGTTTCTCAAGAGAAGCAGGAGAGGAAAGTTAGTTTCCTATTTTGGATGAGATTTATTATCACATTTGGGGCTCACCTGAAAGTACTCACGGAATGAGACTACGTAGTGAAAAATCGCCATCAACAGCAGAATAATCTTCCATTTTTAGAAGTATATTTCTCACAAAAAAAAAAGGACAATGCGTTTAACGCCTGAAACAACATCCCTGCCAGAGAGTAGTTATAAAAGTTTTTTGATCTTCAAATATAAAAAGTATGCTTTGGTTACTATCAGCACTGCCTGCGAGAATGATATTCATTCTTTTGCCCTGTGTAATTTCTCGCTCTTTTTCATGCTCTATAAACTGGTATCTCTTTTATTCAAAGTGTTGTAAAATATTGCACCATTGATAAAGATCTTATTTTTTTAAATAGTAGAATGTTTGTGTTTTATTCACTACACCTTTATACAGTATTCTACCTTAGGGGTACCGTATTTGCTATAACACCGAATCATGATTATCTACACAATAATTATATATATATGTATGTAGGACACTTTGGGCTACGTTCAAATGAAAAAACATTTTGTGCTATTGATATCAGTTTTTTTTTTACTACGCAGTAAAGCTCCGTGACCATGTTATGTAGTGCCTGATATTCTCCCGTTTCTGGATGAGTTTTCTCTGTATTCTGGCAAACACCATAAGTAAAAGCTAGCTTATCAAAGCTAGCAACATATATATGTTATAAAATAACAATAAGTTGTTAATTTGCCAGGTTTATTAACAAGAAAAAACCAGTTTTGTTTTGTAGTCTGTTTCTTATTCAATTGTGATATGTATATCATGTTTTACAAGGGATTTAGAATTCATCACTACATTCAAAAAAAAATGGGATAAGTTGTTAATTTCTTTATCTTTTTTCTTTCTTTCTTTTTTTTTATTTGCTGGGGACAATAATACTAAATGTAGTAAATTATTAGGATAATTGAATACTTGGATGACCAAATGGTTAAACAGACATCAATTTCAATTTTTTTTTGTTATTTAATTTAATGGGCTAGTTTGGCAAAAAAATACACTCAAAATATTTATTAGAGGTTATTTTATTATCACTAGCCATAATAAATAAAAACATAGTAAAGACCATATTATTACATTTTTTTCTTATTAGATTATTAACTAGCCCTCTACATTATATATAAGACAAAAAAAATTAAGTTGATATAGTTATTTATTTTTTATTTTTATTTTTTTTTTTTAAAAAAAAAACATATATACTCATATATCAAAGTGCAATATTATATGTGAAATCCAACTATTTAATTTTCATTTGCCGACCTTTTTTTTGCTACTTTTGCTACTTTATTTGTAGCATTTAAAAAATGGACAGTTTAGTACGTTTTTTTTCTAAAGTACGCTTTTATTTCCGAAGTGATAAAATTTTATTTTTTTGATTATACGACATTAGGAGAGACAATATATTGGAACACCGCCGCATTTTTTTTTGTGGAGGGATTTTTCTAGCCTCACAAAATTGCTACGCTCCTAGGTGTTTTTGAGCACTAAAAAATTCTTAAAACAGCTGAGATCCAAAAATGCCCTACAATCTACAAAAAAGACTGGGCATTTGAATAGAGATGGTATTTGAATTTAATTAATTAATTAATTATTATTTTATTTTATTTTTGCTTTATTGTAAATTTTCTATTAGTTTTTGAAAGCTCCTTATTATCAACTAACTAGTAATTAACCCTCTTATTTTAATCATAATTCCATTTTAATATTAAACCGCATAGTAATAATAATAATATAAAGTACTTCAAGTAAAACACCATGGCATTTTCCATTTATTATTTTTTCTTTTATCTTTTGTGGTTTATCTAGGGTTGTTTTTATTGTTTATTTCATTTACTAGTATATCTTTATCTAAGGAAGTTCTGTATGCTTGGCTTAGATATCTACCATCGGTAGTAGACAGAATGGTGTATTTAAAAAAAAAAAGATAAAATAGAACTACTATCTATTTATTGTCAATGACAAGTAACTGGATAACAAATGTCAAGACAAAAAAAAAGTTGAAAAGAATTAAAGACAGGAAGTCTCTGCACGTGATATTTACTGAAACTTAGTGACAGAAAACAACCTAGTTTATACATATAATTTTTTTTTCTATTGGCTTATTTTTACATATATACATATCTTCACATACGTATATACATATATATACCTTTAATTTAAAATACATACACGTACATATTACTCTCTTATTATTATATATATATTATTAATGGTGTCAAGAAATAAAAAGTTGCCAAACTCATTCGAGATGTGGAAGAAAGAAAAGGAGCGTCAAACCGAATTGACGTTTGAACTAGCAAATCGAAATGAGATTGATCTTGCTCAAATTATACGCAAACAAGCAGAGAAAAAAATCTATACAATGGCTGGAGTAAAGATCGAGTTTCCTTTTCGAGCATGTAAGTAGTAATGGTTGTTTTTTTTTTCATTGTTGGATCGATTGAATTGATCGATTATGACATCTTTTGTAGACAAATCTCAGATCCAGATGATGTCCATGGTATAATGACGCTTTAAATATTAATTTAACTCTCTCTTTTTTTTTGTAATAACATTCACATCTTTAAAATATTTATTGAAAAAAAACAAGATTGTCAAAGCCTTGAAAAACCGTGAGAATGCATTACTAGAGAGTCCAACTGGTATGTATTGCTCATACTTAACATATGTATGAATAATTAGGATATAATTTTTTTGTATATCAAAAATTACTTTTAGGATCTGGAAAATCGTTGGCAATTTTGTGTGCTGCATTGGGTAAGGAAAAGAAGTGTGGATCTGTCATCAATAGAATACAGTACAATAAAATAAATTGGATTGGTATTACTATTTTGCTAAATATCGGGAAATACCAAAACTACAGCATGGTTAGACTATGAAAAGAAGAAAGAAAATGACATTCAAGCAGAGAAACAGAAAAAGGCAACAGAAATTGCAAAAAAAGTCTGGGAAGATACATTGATGGAAGCTACCAATGTGCCAATTAGCTACGTAGAAATTAATAGAGAAGAGACGGATGATGATTTTCAGCCGGCAAATATTAGAAGAAAAATAGGAGGAGGTGGATCTTTGCCAATATTAAATCCAGTTGTTAATACGAACGACACTACAACCGCAGTAAATATGAGTGAATCGGTACCAAATACAACTGCACCAAAATTGCCCAAAATTTATGTTGGAAGTCGCACGTATGTATATAGCTTATCGAGTATCCAATGCCAGTATAAAATCCAATTAAATCATAGTAAATAAATAAATAAATAAAATTCTAAATGTATGTGAATTTACACATGCAACACATAGGCACAAACAGCTTGCTCAACTCATTGGCGAGTTAAAGGGAAATACGTTTTATCGACCAAGTAATCCACAATTCTTTTTCTTTTTTGTTGTTGTCTTTTCTTTTTGGGTGCATATAATCACAAGAGAATTGTAGAATTTAATTATATTGATTTTCCTTTAGAGATGTCCATCTTGGGTAGTCGTGACCAGATGTGTAGTAAGGATTGTCTATATATCAACGACAGCAACAACAATCTTTAATTTGTTTCTACTGTTATTGTTGCTATCATTATTTTATTATCTGGTTAATCTCAATGAACACAGTCGATAAAAAGGTGTCCAAATCAGCAACAAAGGCAGATGACTGGTAAAATGCCAAATGATTTATGCTGTATATGATGTATGTATGTATTCATATGTGGTGATATTAATAGTGGTACCCTGCTGGATGCACGGCACTGTATTCCAGGTCTTCAAGCTGGAAAATTGATTTCAAATCCAAACATCCAAAGAGGAGGAAGCATGGAGATCTGGGATATAGAAGACATTGTTCGTCTAGGTTCCCAAACAAGATGTAAGTTTAATAAAGAAAGTCTTTTATATTTTTGCTTTTGCGATAATATTAATATGATGTCGAAATTTGGATCGTTTTATTATTATTATTAAAATAATAATATCTAGGTTGTCCTTATTATGCGACACGGGGTATGGCTGATTTTGCAGAAATCGTATTTTGCCCTTACAACTACCTTATTGATCCCAGTAAGAATTTCTCTAGCTAACTTATAAAAAGAGGGGATATCAAGACTGCGAGTGTATGATCTAATATAATTTTTGGCATACCAATTTAGTTATTCGAAAGGTTATGCGTATTGACCTAAAGGACGCTATTGTCATTCTCGATGAAGGTAATAACAATACAAAAAAAAGTATATAACTATTAGTAATATCATTCACAATTTGATTTTGAATGTTTTGGTCCAATAGCACACAATATAGAAGACTCTTCACGCTCTGCTGGATCGTTTGAAGTGACAGAGGTTGATTTGGGCATGCTTCAGACTGAGCTTAATCAAGTCATTCGCAATAAACAGCTTCCAGAGGAACACAATTTACTTCTTTATGTAAGTTGTTCTTTTTACATTAATATACCTTCCTTTTTTCTTAAAAAAAAAGCAAGCAAGCAAACAAACAAACAAGTTGTGCTTTTTTATATATAATAACCTGGGTCATTTTAGTTTACCGAGAGCTTATTAGAATGGATCAAAGATCCCTCTAATATGTTTACTATCAAGGAATTTGAACAACACGTTCATCTGTAAGTGTAAATCTACTCATACTACACTAATTATTAAGTAACATATATATATATTTAATTCGTTCTGGTAGTTGGTCTGGCAAAGAAATCATTGCAAAGCTAAAGGACATTGGAATCACCAAGAATACATTCGAGGCTTCACTTACTCCGGCTTACACTGCAATTGCTGCTCTTGCTGAGTCAGTCAGACGTGAAAGAGAGCGCGATGCCAATATCGAATCAAAGAAAGAATTAACTGAGAATGAGGATGGTACTCCAAAGGTTCATAATAGAAAATGTCTTAGTAATTACGCACTTCGACTGATTGAAGGTAACCAAAATAATGATAATAATAACGAAAGCCTATACTTATAAAATCAATCCCCTCATACACATGCACGTATACATAAAAAAAAAGGAATTTTTATGGTTTTGGGATTCATGTACGAAAGCAATACCAATTATGAAGATGACTACAGAATGGTACTGATCAAAAAGGTGAATCGTACTGGAGACTCTTCAACAAGTAAGTTTATTTAAATAAATTGGATGCTAAAAATCAAACTAAAAACTAAAAACTAAAAAAGGCTCTGAATGGGTTTTCAAACTTGGATTTTGGTAATTAAAGAATAAAAGCAAACTTGCTCCTATGTATTGGAGAATCGAGAAAGAAAAGGCAAACTTTAATATGTATGTATAATCAGGTGTCTCAATCCTGGTGTTATTTTCAATCAGCTCTCAACCCTTACTCACTCGATTGTTTTAACAAGTGGAACACTTTCACCGGTAAGATGTAGTCTCCTTGTAGAGTGCTCTCTATAAGTACTTGACACTAATGAGCTATTATAAATATGTGTGTATGTATGTTTTTTTTTAGTTGAACATATTTGCTTCAGAATTGAATTCACCATTGTAAGTAGGAATATATATATATATATATATATATATATATATATATATATTGGTATTGGATCCACTCAAATCACTAAACTGTTTTTATTTTCAAATGTATATATGTGTGTTTAATAGTCCAATTCGACTTGAAGCAAACCATGTTATTGAAGAATCCCAGGTGTGGGTACGGGTTATACCAACTGGGTAAGCTTTCTACTATATAGATCTATACCTCTGCTTTTAATTTGTTGATTAATAATAATAATAATATGTTTTCTGGTAGACCTAATAATTGTCTTCTTAAAGGAGTATATACTCAGATGGAGAGCTTTAACTACCAAGATGATGTTGGAGAAGGTAAAAAATTCTGGAGTTTTCTTTTATACAAACTAAATTGTAATGACTTATTTTGTTGGTTTTCTGTACAAAGCATTATGTGGGATTGCAGAAACTGTGCCTTTTGGTGTATTGTGCTTTGTGCCTTCCTACAGCACATTGAATAAACTAAAAAATCGCTGGACGGTAAGTTTCTCTAATGGCTTTTTACAAAACAACAACAAGAATAATACAAGAAGAATAAGAAGAAAAGGTCCATGTTGTCTCATACTTATACTCATTGGATTCTAATTAATGTAGGCGACTGGAATCCTAAAAAGGCTCGAGAAAAGAAAAAGGATTTTTTATGGTAAGCTTTTATGTGTGTTTGTAGTTTATTGATACACATCTTTCTAACACTAATATTTTACTTTAAATGTCTATCTTGTAACAGAACCTTCTGGACAGGCAAAAGCAACTTTTGAAAAAACCTTAAAGGATTATTATGGATACATCAAATCTATTGAAGAAAAAGGTCCTAATAAAGGAAAAGATGGTGCCATATACTTTGCGGTAAGATATATACAGTTACTGTTTATTTCTTTTCATTAGGTTAATGAATATCGGAAAATAATGCATTTAACCTTGTAAATTTTAATTTATTGTAGGTTTTCCGTGGTAAAGTGAGTGAAGGCATTGATTTTAAAGACAACAATTGTCGAGCTGTTGTCACAATAGGAATTCCATATCCAAACATGTGAGTGAATAACATATATAAGTCATATGAGTTGATGCTGATAATATTCAATACTTTTTTTTTAAAAAAAAAAAAGTAAAGATATTCAAGTAAATCTCAAAAAAGCATACAATGACTTGAAGTGGAAACCTGGAGTCGATTCCTTCAAGGGATCACAGTGGTGAGTGAAAAGCTTTTGGTTTTGGTTTTTGTTTTTATTGATTTTGCTCTTGTGAATTACAGGTATTCAGCACAGGCTTACAGAGGTGAGGCATATATTTGTGTGCATAACTCTTGATGCTAATAAGCTAAATAAATAAATTAATAGCCATCAATCAGGCCCTAGGTCGATGTATTCGCCACCAAAAGGTAAACTAGGACCAGATACATGTATTGGCACCATATTAAAATATATAAATCCCTGGATTTCTTTGTTGTATAATAATCACCATTGGTTTTTCAGGATTGGGGTAACTATTCTGGTTTTTGTATTTAACCATAATTACAAGATCATAAGGTGTGTCTAATATTAATTTTTGTGCTATTTTAGGTGCTATTATTCTACTAGAAGAACGTTTTCGAGAAGAAGAGCATCAAGCTGGACTTTCAAAATGGGTTGCTAAATCTTGTAAAGTAGAAACATATGGATTCGAGGCAGCAATGAACAGTCTCAGCGAATTCATGATTAACCGAATTGAGATTGACAAGGCTCTTTCTTCAAAAGAAACAAAAGAACAAGAATTGACATCATCATCAACGGTTGATACTGTAGTTACAAAAGAACTTTCATTACCGCCACCAACAACCAAAATAACAAAGGATGAAACAGAAAATCATCCTGTAGACCATCGAGAACCAAAATCTGGCGAGCATAAAAACGATCCTATTTTGATTCAAGAAGCCCAACCTATTTTAGACTCTGGATTTGATCAAAACAATCCAATAGTTGTAGATAGCAGTATTACTACTACAGAAAACACTTTGAATGAAGACATATCTGTCAAAAATCTTGGCAATCTTAATAGTTTGGCCCTGACAGATAAACCACTTGCCAAGATCACAATCCCGACCAAAAGGCTGCGAAATAACGTGCAAAAAAATACATCCAACCCACAAGATACATACTTAATTGAAACAGAAACGGCTGAAACCACACCTACCCTTGCCGCCAAAACTACTGCCACTACTACTATAACTAAAACTAATGAACTGACCACAGACATCAGGATACAAGAACAAGAACAAAATTTGCCTAATTGCGCAGATCAATCTAAACCTGAGTCCAGTCCTACTTCTACCTCAGAACATAAACTCCAACCAGCTGTACTCGATTGTACGCCACTGGTCAGAGCTCCACAACAAAAGACCGGCATTGTTGCGTGTAGATGGCATGGAGAACACCTGTTTTCTGACATGAAAAAGGAATTTCTGGTTCAAAAGACATCGACTGATCTCGACTATTTTCTTGAATTAGAATTAGACTTGTCGGTTAAAAACAGGGCTCGGAAAAAGAGCTGCAAAGTACTACAAGTCTGCTATCCAACTTCTTGGACAATGGAACAAATTCAGATTGCGGTCTTTAACCCATCGGCTCCTGTCATTATGGAGGAAAATGAAGCCGACGGACTTGTGTACAGAGTTTTTGGAGCCAGGTGCTGTAAAAACTCAATTGGGGCATTGATATACGATACAACCTCTACTTTATCAAGTAACCGTAGACTTGTTGGAAACTTATTTATCTTACACGACACTGTACAAATATTAGATCCTGAACAATTACTATAACCTTTTGTCTAGACTGTATGTATATAAATTATAGACGATTACTAAAATACAATTTAAAAATTTAAAATATATATTTGTATTATATTGATACATTTAACATTTCTTTGTGTGTCTGTGTATGGGGGCTAGTGGGTATAATTATGAGGTTCAAAGTCAAGCCTTTCATGTTAGTCACTATATAAATTTGTAAAGTGCTACGTTTTAGTGTGTAGCTTACAGTCTCAAGCAATAGATGTACACCAGTCAATTCAAAGGAGTTCCTTTTTAATAAAATCGGCAAAATAGTTTTCTATGTATTCAAAATGAAACACTTTGTTATCAAAAGCTCTATTTAGTATCTTTCCAGAGAGTGTAATATTGTCCAATAGGAATAAGGCTGCTTTCAAACCAATTCGCATCTAGGTTCTTTTTTTTTGAAGTCAAAAACAATGTGCAACAATTAATTGCTTTCGGAAGACAAGTCCCGACTTTCAAATAAAGAATAAGGTTTGGTGACCAATACTCGGGTTCTACAAGTCACACTAAAATCTCATCGTTTCATGTCAAACAATCAATTAGATATCAATTGGTTTGATTGATGGATATTTAATGATACATCTTTCTCTCGTTATCTCTATGCTACAATGGCAACAAAATTACCACCCAATATTCTCACATATCTGGCAACACACGTCGATAAAAAAGACAGACTTAACTGTGCTATAGTCTGCAAGCAGTGGACAGAGCCATTTTTAAACGCTTATTGGGCTCAAGTTTACTTTAGCGGATATATGCTGGACAAACTATGCGACAAATTCGATCTTAAAGAAGTCTATCAATGGAATGCACATCGAACGTGGGCTTTGAATATCAGATTGTTTGCAAATGACTTGAAATATATTCCAGTATTGCAGCAAACATATTCCAGAATAAAGTATCTTAAATACTCAATATATGACGAAGACATATTCGCTGTAAAAATTGATTGGAGTCTTTGGAAAACATTATCACACCTGGAACTAGATTTTCAGAAAGTAGAGCTCACTATAGATGAATTTCTCGAACAATTGTCACCGTTGACTTGCCTTGTTCACCTCACGATTTGCCAATATATTGATAATATAAACAGACCCGATACTTCCCTTACCGATATGGAATCAATTCACAGCTACTTTCCACACCTACAATATATCAATATAAATACTTTATTTAAACCAATATCCGAAAAAGAGATCGAAACGATAAGAAACGTCGAACCAGCACACACTGTTACCAAGATTGTTTTATATTTTCCGTATATTGATCCATCGTGGATATTTTACTTTGCACACAAGTATCCCAATCTAGTCACCTGCAATTTAAGGTCACGTGAGCGTAAACCAAGATTCTATCTACCACCTTATGACCAGAAGAAATATCAGATTCAACCTCAATTACTGTTATCCAGCAAACAATTCTTTCCTTGTCTACAAACAGCAAACATAATAGTCCACGACAACAATTACTGGTTATTTTATTTATTTTATGACACTCTTCAACGCTGTAACGTAAAGATCAAGCATGCTACAATTAAGTTTAATGAGAATATGTCAAAGGAAAATGGTTTAAACTCGTGGATCAAATATCTTTCTGAATCAGTGATTAGCTTGAACATCTATTCCAGCTGTTGCAACCAGTCTATACCTGTAGAAACAAACCCAGTTGTACTTTACAAAAATTTAACTGTATTGAAGATATTAGTTTGTCCTCGTGTTGACATGGAGATTATTTTGAATTATTGCCCAGTCTTGCGATCATTATATATTACTGATTCAATGATTCATTCTCCCGAATATCCGCTGTCCATGCACGCACCACACCCGTTACAAAGACTGGAAATTGAAATGGCAAAAACCAGTGTGTCTGTTTTTAAATACATATCTTTCCGTTGTAGACAGCTGAAATATATGAAATTAAAAAATATTTTCTATAAGCCTTCTGACATGAATGAAACGGGGCAAATACTTGTGGATATGTCCTTTTCACAACTAAAAGTGTTAAAAACAAGCGAATCCGAAATTGATGATCCTGAAGATATTTATGGTATTATTTCTCCTTTTTTTCTACATATTGTCATTGAACAAATTGGGAATGTTGGTACTGATCAAGTACAAGCACCTCGATCAAACTGGTACCATCTGTGCGTCGACAAAACAAACAGAAAGAGCAGATTGTTGGCATGGGAACTTGGAAGACGTGACATTGAATTTTGCCAGCGATACCTTAAAGACTTTAAACGAAGAAAAGGAAGGGAAAAGAAACGAAAGGACATGAAGAGATCTGAATATAATTATAAACTTAAAAGATTTTGGAAAAGAGATCTTCAACACGGTGTCTTGATATTTCGATTGAAATCTGTTGAAACCTATTTTCTTTACGAAAAAGATGATAGAAACTTTTTCCTCTATCTAGAACCGGAATCAGAACCGGAATCAGAATGATCTTTGATTTGTACAATAATTCAATAAATAATATGCTTGTAATAAAGTATATAGTTTATAAAGGTAACAATATATCCATGAAGTACTAGTCAGACTTTCTTTTGACTTATTGTCCTATGTGAAAGTACATGCACTCTGATTAAAGTGTCCTCGATAGTATTTAATCAATAGGGCACAATACTCAAATTACATTTTATTATGAGACTTGGAAATCCACTTTATACTCTCCAATTAAAAAACACAAATTCATATTTTTTGGTTTTGGTTTTGATCAATCGATGAATTAGTAAAGATTATGAGTGGTCGTTGGATACCTTGAAATACGTATATATATTTAGGCGAGTGAGTGCTACTTGTTTGGGGTTTGGCTTATGAGGTATAGCTGTCCAATTGAATGACAAAAAATGAATACATATAGTAAAGAAGAGCCGTTTAACTACTTTAAGCTATGCCTATAGTTATAACGTTACTATACAAAACAAAAACTTTCAAAAGAAATGCAAACAGAGCAAGTAGTTAATTACTATGTCTGTTCTTGATTCCAATGGTAATCCCTTATTTTTTTTTTGGCTTTCCTGCTTTGTCTTTTATTCTTATTCTTATATTTTTCTGGACTTTATGTAATTTTAGTGAGCTAGGTTTGTAGGTAAAGTTAGCATAGCATAGCATAACATAAACATGTCATACTATATTATATATCCTACTGCATATTAAACGCAGCAACTTTTTTTTGGGGTTGTATCATAATTGAGACCTCGCCTTGTCTATTAAGTCTACATTTACATTTACATTTACATTCACTTTGTACATAGCTTTAATATATACATTTTATAGAAGATGGTTTATCTGGAGTGAGTACATTGAACTAAAGGCGTCAACTATGTAAAAGGTTATTTATAAATATAGATTATTGACCATAGGAGTTGGGCGGTTACTTTGAAGTACTGGGTATTCAGATATATGTACTTGATCTTGGCATAAATCCAACTCATGTACATTGTCTAAGCCCTAAACTGATTTTGTTTGTTGTTTTTTTTAGTATCCTGCATAATGAAAAAAAAATAGAGCAAAAGTTAACATGTCATACACATGTAATAATACTATTCAAAATGACTAAAGCAATCACAGAATACACATACATACATTTGTGGGTGTGTCTATCTTTATCTACGTCAATGTAACCAACCAATTGTCTATATATCTATCTCTCTCTCTCTCAGTCTTGTTTCCCCTAAGTACAAATTTGTAGCTTAAACGGTAAGAATAAAAGAAAAACCAAGGACAGATCTACAATGTGCTTTGGGATGTAAGATACAAAGATCTCTTGTACTGAAAGTTAAAGGTAAATCTTACAAAAATAAATCAAAGAATAAAATTACAATTTTTTTTTGTTTTTGCTTGTGCTTATAAGGATCACTTTGTATATCCTAATGTACACCCGTATGTCCGTACGCCTATACGCCTCTTGATCTGTACGCCTTTGCTTTTTTTATATATTTATTTACTAGACTGTAAACTTGGTTGTATATGTAAAGGCCTTTAAACTATTTGGTAGCATTATTATTATATATTGACCTCACTCCTTTAGAATTCCCTTTTTTTTTAATTTTTTTCTCTTGGATTAAAGGAGGTTTATATAGACCTATAACTCCACACATATACACATAATGCTATTATTATTACTTTTACATATTCCTTGAAATGCTTGGTCTAAAGTAATGATACATAATCTTTCCTTATGGCGTGGTACATTAGAGGGAGGATTTTTTTAAGGTCCAAGGGCTTGATACTTCTTATATATAAATAATTAAATTCGATACAATTGAATGAAAATAAAATATCAAAATGTACTTGAATCCAGTGAATGGGATTTTGGTACTTTATTTATTTCAAGTATTCTATTGAGGGTTTCGAAACGACGATCTGGAACTAGAGTGTCTATAGAATCCATTGACAAATCGAGACAAACAATGAATAAATAGATTATAGATATAAAATATAATAGCAAGTATCTAGACATTATTTGGCAAGGATTTCTTTCTTTTTTTTTTGTGTGTCTGTAGATCAGGGCACAAAGAATTAGAAGCACTTTTATGTAAAGAAAGAAAAAAAAAAGAATGATACTAAAATATACTTTCTTTATCATTATGAACCTTTTTGTCAAGCTTAATCTTGGTATGTATTTTTTTTTATATTCAATGGCGTTTTATTAAAAAAAATATAACAAGCTTTAGTTCAGAATTCCCACTCAATCTTGGTATTAATAGAACTATGAATGAATATGTGGATTCTATTATTAATATCATTCATAGTTGAATAATAAAGAAAGAGCAATATAAAGCACCAACAGAAGAAGACAAAGAAGAAGAATTTCATTTAAACTAGTAGTAATAGATTGACTATAAGGGTTTCCTTTTATTAGATTAGATTAGATCGTGTCATATTATATTATATTATGTTTAATGCCTTAATACATGGACAAAGAGAGATAAAGAGGTATGATTACAAATGAGTTCATTATGTTCAATGGCGGGTTAAATTTTCTTGTTCTGTTGGTTTTGATTGTGTAAAAGAAAAAGAATGGGTACCCCCCCTTCTTTTTTTGAATAATGAATAAAGTCCATTTCTTGCCTTTCCACATCTACATATGCAGATACACGCACACGCACATACACATACACTTACACCTACAAACCTATACGTGTGTACATGCATTTATTCACATATACATACATAAATGCATACGTACATAGTTACATAGTTACATAGTTACATAGTTACATAGTTACCTAAGTTTATGCATAATTTATATATATATATAAATAGTGTTTAAAAGTGTGTTTGTGTATATTGCTAGGATACCATTTATTTTTATTTTTAAAATTAAATGTTTATGATACGGAAATAGTTCATGTTTCAAAATCTATTAGTATTAAAGGTTATTAATAATAATTTTATACAATATATATATATATATAAAAAAGAAAGAAAGAAAGTATAATCGACGTCACTTTATTTCATTATATTTATTTTTATTTTTAAAAATACTTTGGCGGGGGTGTGTGTTGAGACCCATATATTTTGATTTATTTATTTATTTTTATTTATTTTTATTTATTTTTATTTATCTGTGTAATGAAAATCCAGGGCTTTATTTTATTTTATTTTTTATCAGGTTTTTTTTTGGGGGGTGACAGGAAGCAAGCAAAGAAGGGAGGGGGATAGTTAGGGTAATGTCGATTAGGACAAAGATTTTCAAAGATTTGCAAAAGATGCACAAAAAAAAATGTACAAAAATAAAGTAAAATTGACCAAGTTTTTTATAAGCCAAGATCAAATCAACCTAATCCACCACCACCATCATGAATGAAAAAAAAAAAGAAAGAAAAAAGTATAATAAAGAAGCAATACAAACAAGTACGCACAAACATATACACACCAAAACTATCTTTAAATATTAATCAATTTTATTGTTTCAATTAATTCTTTACATACATAAGAAAACTATATCTTCCTGCTACTGTTTTTTTTTTTAATTCTATCAACTAATTGATTGATCAATAAAATTTGAACTTTTTTTTTTTTTCTTTCTTTCTTTTGACCGTGTCTTACCCCGCTCACCTAAAAAAAAAAAAAAAATTCCCCTCTCCCCCTTTTCTTTTTTTTTCTCATTACCTTTCCGTACATTAATCAACCCAAAACAAAAAAAAAAAACTTAAAAAATGCCTGCCTCTAGAATCATCTCCAACCTCCACTTTGGTATCATTACCCCCGAGAAGCTTGTCCAAGTGTAAGATTTTATAGATGTACCCAATGTTCAAATTATATACATTACATGCATTACACGCATTGTACAAATTATACAAATTATACAAATTATACAAATTATACATATATTGGGATGACTATTGATTAAAGACTGAATGATATCATTGTTTATTACCAATAGCTTCCCCAACCTTGCCACCTGGGGTGTTGCTGCCGGTTCCGCCGTCTGCTTGTTGGGTGCCGACGTTCCTATTGTCAGAAGGGATATCTTGAGCAAGGTCCCTATTGCCGGTGCTTACTTTGCCCTTCCCGCCGAGGACAAGGAAGAAAACTAAACTAAACTAAATCAAATGTTATTATAATAAAGAAGCATCCAATTCCTTTCTGTCTTTTTGGGTATTAAATGTAGTGTAACGTAGTGAGTGTTATTTGTATCGTTTCTTGAGATATAAACGATTGTGATTATGATTGTGAATTATTAATTAAAGATCCATAATAATACATATTTCATTATTATTATTATTAATAAGATCAAGTTTCTTTGTATTTGCATAATTGTATTTTATTGTACTATATTGAAAGAGGGGAATATGGTCTTTTCTTTCAAGATAATAATAATAATAATAATATGATATATAGAATTGCCACCATCAAATGCAAATGAATAACACAGACGACTTGCATGTGCACACATCTATATACACACAGTATACAGTCTATTGGTTCAGTAAAACTAAAAATAATAATGATAATCTAATATGATCAATGTATCTCATTATTTATTATCATGATCGGATTAAAGACGTACAAGGGCCCAATAACAAGGCCAGAAAGAAAGATAGGCAGGAGGATGAGTAGGAGTAGGAGTAGGAGCAGGAATAAAAATACGAATACGAATACGAATACGAAAAGTGAGGGATGAGGGGATAGTGAGAAAGAACAAAAAGTCTGTGAGGCAGGAGTGCATTTAAGAAATACCAAAATGTCTAGTTACTCGTAACATCTTGGCTATATTGTTTTTGTATGTCAAATACAAAGAATGAATTGAATTCAAATGAATTGAATGTGCAGTATATTACATATCAATTCAAACAATATTTTATCAGCTAAATTGAATATCTATACATTCATTTATTGAACTTGTTTCAAAAAGTGGCAAATGAATGAATGAATGAACCAAATATTGAGTAACAAAATTAGATGGTCAGAAATAAAGAAAAAGAAAAAAGGTTCAAATGCACAAAGGAAGCAAAGGGGGTAAATAAAGATTAGTAAGTAAAAAAGAAAGGAAGAAATAAAGAAAGGGACAAATCCTCCGCCCCTTCTGTTTGATATGTCGGGGGAGTAGGTAAGCAAGCAAGTGAGCAAGTCTGACAATGTGCCATGTTTGATTGTATTTTCAGGAGATCATTTTTTTTGAATATCTAATAGCTCTGTTGAATGTATAGCAAAATCATAACCTTGTATTTATGGGGGAACTATCCTTGTTTTATATATTGAAATATGTATTTGAATATCTGAATATTTGAAACCTGGTTTCCTTCTCTGCGTGTGTTAAAAGTCAACCAGCCAAAGTGGATCAAATTGTGCGCGGTCAATGCACAATCAACTCCTTCTGTATTAGACTTTCTTTGACTCTTACCTCTCAACTTTCTTTTTATTTATTTTCATTATTTTTATGCTACACTACACTAAACTACGCTAAACTACACTACACTACACTACACTACACTACACTACATTGCATACATTCATTCATTCATTCACTTATTCATTATTTCTATTTCTTTCTCTCTCTCTCTTTGGTCTCCTTGACCAAACCCCTTCTATCCACCCCCTTTTATACATTTTTTTTTAATTTTATATGACATATATATAATAATAATAATAATAATAATAATAATAATAATAACAATCTTGTCAATTCAATTCAATTCATTGCCCTTCTTTATTCCATAGTCTTTTTTTTTTCTTAGCCAAAAAAGAAACGCTAATCAACAGAGCAACAATAATAAATAATAAATAATAAAAAAAATAAAGAATATATAACTAGACATTACAATTTTATATTTATAATATTACCCTTATCATCCTTATCATCATTATACACAATGGTCCTCGTTCGCTCAACTATATTTGCCTTGGTTACTCTTCAATTGCTCAACTCTATCAACTGTGCCCCTGTTAACCAGTCCACATCCGGCACCACAACTCAATCAAACTCCATAAGCACCATCAAGGCTATTGGAACCTCTACAACAACAGCAACCACCAGTCCCTTGACATCTTCCAAAACTACCACCACCCTATCATCCTCCACTTCCAAGACCACTTCAAAGACCACTTCCAAGACCACTTCAAAGACCACTTCCAAGTCTACCTCCAAGTCTACCTCCAAGTCTACCTCCAAGGCTACCTCCAAGTCTACTTCCAAGTCAACCAAAACAACTGCCAAGACTACTGCCAAGAGTTCTCCCACCGAAAAACCAGACGCAGCCACAGACAAAAAGACCAATGCAGATGATGGTAAGAACACGGCCGACACTAGTGGAACAACCGGTGTAGCCTCCCGTGTGTCTGTCAGCACTTCCAAGACAGCCTGCTCCAACAAAAAGGTCGATTTCACAAAGAACCTAGGCGGGTGGAAAGAAGAATACGGCTCGACTAATCTCTATGAAATCACCAGCCAAGGTCTACGCATGAAATTGTTGGCACCCAATGAATATATTCCCAAGATTGATAATTCAACAGGTCAGTTTAGTTCATTTAGTTCTTGTTATACATATACATATCTGTACATACATATATCCTTGTATGCCTCTATCTGTGTCTGTGTTAATGCTTCTTATCCATTGATTCTCGTATACTAATTTTTTTTTGTATAGGTCTTCCATACAATCTTTATGAGGGAACTGGTCCTACATTTAACCCTCCAAACTACATGCAGTACGGCAAGTTCACAGCTACCATCAAGGCTGCACCTGAAGGTGGCGCTGTTACTGCAATCATTCTCATTGCCGACAATGGCGACGAGATTGACTATGAGCTGATAGGAGGTACATATATACATATATATATTTCTCCCTTTTGAAGAAGTTATATCTTGATATCTTTACTAATCTAAATTCAAATCCATATCCGTGTTTCGCTTCCTACTGTAGCTGACGACCAGCACGCACAGTAAGTATCTTTATATAAATCAACAAATCTACTTTTTCTTTCTTTCTTTATATATATATATATATTGAATCAATAGGAGCAAATAGATATAAATTGGGCGTTCTAACTTTTATTATTATATAGAACCAATTACTTTTGGGGACAGCAGCCTGTCGTAGGTGTCAATGGCGGTATTCATGATGTATCTGGTAGCATCTATAGCCAATTCCATACCTATACGATTAACTGGTAAGATATAGACATAATATCTATTGGTTTATTAATGTTTGGTTACTTGTAGGACTCCTGAGAAAATTGATTGGATCATCGATGGTGAAAAGGTTCGAACAAAGAACATGAAGGATACATGCAGTGGAGGTGTCTGCAAATACCCAACTCATCCTGCGTAAGTTTAATAATTCCTTGCATCCTCAACATAACAGAATAAGTAGGCAGAATATACTAATAATAATAATAATAATAATAATTTATTTATTATCTATACAGTCGTGTCCAGATTGGCCTTTGGGATGGCAGTAGAGAGTCTGGTACAGCCGAATGGGCGCATGGACCTATCAATGTAAGTTGAACCATAAAATAATAATAATAATAATAATAATAATAATAATAATAATAATTCTTATTTAGTGGAGCAAGACAAAGGTTATTTCCTCCTACATAAAGGAGTTGACTGTCGAATGTAATCCCGAGTATAATACCATCAGCTAAAAAAGAAAAAAGAAAGAAAAAGAGTCTAGAAGAGAGATGGGGGAGTCAGACCCTCTTATCATTATATTTTTATTATTATTACTTTTATTCATTTATTCATTTATTCATCATATCAACCAAGCCTATTCATCTACTTTTCCTGGTTATCTGATTACCCTACCTACATTTCTCTTTGTTTCAATTCAATTCAATTCAATTCAATTCAATGATTTCATACACATCTTTCGACCTCTCTTTCTTCTTATACGAAAGAAAGCGAAATCTTCATCTTAAAGAAGATATACTATATTATTGTTATCATTATTATTAGAGTTTAAAGATATCTGACAGTTTCCTTACAATTTTTCACTTTATTTCTTTAAAATATATATATATATATATATATATATAATTTCATTTTTGTTGGTATTAAATAAACAATTTTCTTTTCTTTTCTTTATATATTTATTTAATATTTCATAAAGATTAATTAGAGGAGAAAATTATATGAGAAAATGTGTATTTATTGATTCATTTTAAAGGAGAGTTACATTATATATATATATATATATATATATATATTTAATTATTATTTTGACCCACACAAAGATTAAAGAGAGCAATCGGTTGCCTAGAAACCATTGTCTTTCTTTTTTGGTTCGTTAATTTTGTCCCCTTGCCCTACAATCTGTAAAATTATAAGAAATAGAGAGGGAGATTTCTTATTTGTTTATCGTGCACGTAGATTCTAAACAGTAACAATAGTGTACATAACTATTGATATTGATATTAATTTCCGTAATGTACACCTTTATTACATTTTGTGAAATGTAATCTATAATCTGCACAAAGCTTTAGGTATTCATCTTGTTGCTTATCCCAATAGACAGACAACCAAACGAAACCTTAGCCCCATAATCATATACATTGTGTAGTGTAGTGTAGTGTAGTGTAGTGTACCTTCTAACCTCAGCTTTGTATATCCAAGAGCCAGCTGCATAAGGATTTGACGTTTATTAAAATACTTGTCTTTACAATTTCTAAATATTTATACTGTGCCCTTTAATGATTTACTGAAATTACAAGTACTACACTAAATATATGAATCTTTTTTCTACCATTCTTTTTCTTCATTTTTTTTTGTTTTTTTTTGGGAGTTTTATCAACTACAGAAATGATATCATTGTAATATTCACAAAAGATTATATGTTTTTTGTTCAAAGAAAAAAAATATAAAAAATGAAAATAAAAAACTCGATTGAGTACCCCCCTCTCCCTTACTCATATATATATATATATATTTCAAAAAATAAAATAAAAAATTCTGTTGTCATTTTAGGCTTAGTCTAACCAACAAACAAACCATTTCTCTTTCTTTCTTTTATTTATTTATTTATTTATATATAAAAGTCTTAGACTGTCTTTTTATTTTTATATATATAAAATAAAATAAAATAAAATAAAAACAAACAAAAAAAAATAATAATCCCAGGTTGGTTATTTGCTGCGGTATCAAAAAATAAAACATAGGCACACAACAGGATGCCTCTTCGTCATATTATTCCAAATATGGAAACTCCAAAAAAATTAAAAAAAAAAAAAAAAAAAGAAAGAAATATTGACCTCGTACATCCTCTTTACTCGCTCTTTATTTTATATTATTTTATATTATATTATATATAAATTAAAAAAGAAAAAAAAAAGTATAAAGAAATATATATATATATAATTTATTTAATTTTTTTTTTGGTTTTTTATATATTTTATTGAAAGATGAGCAATGGAAATTATAATGCTGCAAATCTAGATCGTCAATTCGGTAAGTCTATCATTAAATATCATTTACTATTACTATTACTAATCATAATCATCATCATCTTGATCAACTTCATCAACTTTATCATCATCATCATCATCATCATCTTCATCATCTGTTTATGATTTATTGAATGTATATACATACTCCTTTTCATGTCCATACCTCTTAGCTGGAATGTCGGTCAACAACAACGGCCATCAGCAATCGCGCGGTGGTAATGAATCCTATGGCGGTGGTGGACCCCCTCGTTCTAGATACGTACCCCCTCACTCAAGAGACCAGGACCCCATCCGTCAATCTGGTCAATCCAGCGGCGCTAATGAAGGCTGGTCTGCCTGGAATGGCAACGATCGTGGTCCCAGTGGACCCCCTCGTTCAGAAGGAGGGTAAGTAAATACAAAAAAAAAGTGAAAAAGAAAAAAAAAAGAAAAAGAAAAACCAATGGTTGTAACATCTTTTTTTTTTTGTGAATAAAGAAGTTGGAACTCTTCTCGTTCAGACTATAGCCGTGGTGGTGGAGGCGGTGGTGGTTACAACAACTCTAACCAAAACGGACGTCCTCCATTTGTTGAACGTGGTTCTTACGGCGGTGGTGGTGGTGGTGGTTATGGAGGTAACCGTGGTCGCCGTAATGACGAACCTAGCTATACTCGCCGTGACGACACCCGTGGTTACTGGAGAGACGGTGTCCATCATCTGGGCAGCAAGAACCCCCGCACCGAACGTGAGTTGTTTGGTGTACTTGAAGACGTCGATCGCCAGCACACCGGTATCAACTTTGAAAAGTATGATGACATTCCTGTTGAAGCCAGTGGAACAAACTGCCCTGAGCCTGTGAACAAGGTAAGAAAAGATAATATTTTTCTATATAGAATCAATTTATTTATTTATTTAATTAAGTAATTAATTAATTAAAATATGGTGTGTATTAATAATAATAACAAATTTGTAGTTTACTAGCCCTCCTCTTGATGCCCACTTGCTGAGCAATATCGAAATGGCTCGTTACACTTCCCCAACTCCTGTCCAAAAGTACTCTGTTCCTATCGTTGGAGCTGGAAGAGATTTGATGGCCTGTGCCCAGACTGGTAAATTACAATACCTTTTATATATATATATTTTAAAGGGGAGAAAAAAAAAGGGGGGATAACAGACAGACAGACAGACAGACAAAAAAAAAAAAAGAGGGAGAGACCAAAAAAAAGAAAATAGTTAGTGAGAGGAAGCGGACTTGTCTTTCTATAAAGATACATAATAGTGTGATATAAAGAATGATGATGATGATATTGTGGGATGCTTTATTTATGTATTAATTATTTTGAACAAAAAATAATAATAATAGGTTCCGGAAAGACAGGTGGTTTCCTCTTCCCTGTATTGTCCGAGCTGTTCTCCAAGGGTCCTCTTGGTCCTCCTGCCGAAGACCCCAATGCCGGCTACCGTTCACGCAAGGCCTACCCTTCAGTGCTCATCCTGGCCCCGACCCGTGAGCTGGTTTCGCAGATCTACGAAGAGGCCAAGAAATTCGCCTACCGCAGTTGGGTCCACCCCTGTGTTGTCTATGGTGGTGCAGATATCGGCGGCCAGCTGCGTCAGATTGAGCGTGGCTGCGATCTGCTGGTTGCCACACCCGGCCGCCTTGTCGATCTCATCGAGCGCGCCCGCATTTCGCTGTCCCAGATCCGCTACCTTGTTCTGGACGAGGCTGACCGTATGTTGGATATGGGTTTCGAACCCCAGATCCGACGCATTGTCGAGAAGGAAGACATGCCTGGTGTCCAGAGCCGAGTGACTCTCATGTTCTCTGCAACGTTCCCCAGAGACATCCAGTACCTGGCCCGCGATTTCCTCAAGGACTACATTTTCTTGTCCGTTGGTCGTGTTGGCTCGACCTCGGAGAACATCACCCAAAAGGTGATCTATGTCGAGGACGAAGAGAAGCGATCCGCACTGCTCGATATCCTGCACTCCACCGATGTCTCGGGCCTGACACTGATCTTTGTCGAGACCAAGCGCATGGCCGACACTCTGTCCGATTTCCTGCTGACCAACCGATTCCCAGCCACCGCGATTCACGGTGACCGCACCCAGCGCGAGCGCGAGCGTGCACTGGACTCCTTCCGCACAGGTCGCACCCCAATCATGGTCGCCACTGCTGTTGCTGCCCGTGGTCTGGATATCGCCAATGTCTCTCACGTCATTTCGTATGACCTGCCAACCGACATTGACGACTATGTGCATCGTATTGGTCGTACTGGTCGTGCTGGTAACACTGGTCTGGCCACCGCATTCTTCAACCGCGGAAACAAGAACATCGTCAACGATCTGGTGGATATTCTCAAGGAAGCCAACCAGGAAATCCCTCCCTTCCTAGAGTCAATCTCTAGAGAGTCGAGATCCTATGGAGGCGGACGTGGTGGCGGACGTGGCGGACGTGGAGGTGGACGTGGAGGTAGCTTCGGTGGACGTGATTTCCGCAAGTATGATGGACCCTCACGTTCCGGAGGAGGTGGAGGTTATGGAAATGAGTAAGTCGATTGTATTTTTTTTGTTTTGTTTTGTGTTTGGTTTATTGATATATCCTGGTTTGATAGTTCTTATGGAGGTGGACAAGGTGGTGGACAAGGCGGTGGAAATTCTGGAAGCAGACCATCGTATCCTTCTAGAGATGTTCCTCTCCAGTACCAGACCAAGACTAGCTGGTTCTAAGCAACCGAGAAGAAACAAGCATGAAAGAAATGAATGAATGAAACGAAAGAAACGAAAGAAACGAATGAATGAATCAACACAGAGAAGAGAGAAGAAGAATATGATGATGATGATGACAACGACGACGACGACGACGATAAAGAAAAATGAAAGAAATGAAAGAACGAAAAGAAGTAAAAAAAAAAAAAAGAAAAAGAAAGAAAAAATCAGACATACAGAACATACTTCATACATAACATATATAACATCTATACACACGGTCCAAGCAAAAAAAAAAAAGAAAAAAAAAAAAGGCATTGACTACCCCCAAATCTCACAACTGTGTATATTTTTTATTTCTATTTTTTTATTATTATTTTTTTATATATATTTATTGCTTTGATTCCCGCGTATTTTTTTTTTATTTTATTTTTTTATTGTTATATTTATTTTATTATTTCTTTACTTTGTTACCCTATATTTTTTCTGTTATTTTCTGTTATTTGATAGACAATTTTTTTTTTATATTATTTATATTATTATTATTTTCTCAAGCTCTTTCTCTCTCTTTCTCTCCCTTATCTCTTTCTCTTTTTATTTTATTTTATTTTTATATTCATTATATATATATATATTAATATTAATATTAATAAAAATTGATATATGAAGTCCAACAAGTAGATAAATTATTAATGCAATATTGATTTTTTTGTTTGTACGAATTTCTTATACAGTAAAGGCGAATGAAAAGTGGTTTATTAGAATTAGAATAATTGGCTCGAACTTGTCTGGTGTGGTTAGTGGCACAAAGAGACAGTCGCCCGTTTCTGTTGTACGCGTTGGCTACGTTTTGTGGGTGGTCAATTGTACCAAACCAATGTAATGTTGTTGTGGGAGGCGCGAGCGTTTGTCCTGTAGACTGCGGATAAGCCGGTTTGTGGATGCAGGCATATTTTCCATCGCTACTGCTCTATACCCACAATTGCCGTCTGCTTCTGAAGAAAAAAATATCTCGGATATTTGACTTGGTGCGATTGCCAAAGTGAGGGAAATTACTTGTAAACAAGTGTTTACCCAAGTATTCTTTGCCATCCATTTCTTTTTTCTGATAGTATATATTATTTATAGTTAACAAACTGTTTCTAGCAAATATAACAGCACTTTGTATACCTTTCAAGAAAAGTTCCAGCTTCTTTTTTGCAAGGCCGAGGCACACCTTAATCTCCTTATTTTCTTCTTCAGAATTGTATGCTTCAAAGCAATTTGTTCGAGATGACCGGTCAACTCATCCAGAAGCCTCTTTTGTCGCCAGTCTCATCTTCCTTCATTGGTGATTGCATTCCTCAATGCTTTCTTATTGTCGGTGGTAAACACACTTGGGAGAACAGTTGTTGTTGTAGTCCTTTTGGCCGTTACTGCTGCTATCACCCACATCTGGACAAACGGAATCGCGCAGACACCAAAGTTTACCAAGAGATAGTTGGCTGTTGTTTTGTGTTCCACCCAAGCTCTAGCAATCGGAAACGTCATCAAAGTCGTACGAGAATTTCCTCTGACGTTGCTGGTACCAACAATGTTGACAAAAGTCATTCGATGGCTATTCGTCTTATATTGTTCGGACTTTCCAAACTGCTGCTTGATATTGGTGAATCCATTTTTCTTCAAAATCGTTGACGATTGTGGAAACATTATCATTGTCCTCCAGGTGCTTTGTGACAAGAATCTTGGCTTCAGGGGAGAGTTTTCGATGCATGGCATATTCTCTACCGTCTTCCACAATTGGATGATTATGTTTTGCCTTGTGGGAGTGTGACTACAGTCTTTCTTTTCTTCTTTTTTTTTTCTTTCGAGGCATACACAAAACATAAATGACCACTCTTCTGGGTTTCCTTTTATGCGTTGTCTCTCCCACCCAGGAAGAGGGGTTTTCTTGGTTGACAAAGGCTTTTGGATCAACTTTCTCGGTATTTCTAGTGTCTCTCTATATTCACCATAGTACTTACAGATCATTCTTATACGGGTGCTTGAAGAAGAATAAGCGATGAATCCAATATTATGCTTAGCCCCATATGCCTTGGCAGGATTCACGAACAACTAGAGTTGAAGAGAATTCTCTTCCGGCAAGAAGTATCGGATTAAACTTGGTCAAGACAGCAACGTACTTCTTTGAAGAAGTCTCACGGGCAATGACAAGGTCATTGGTGTTGTTGATGTTAAATGTAAAAAAAAAGGGGTGGGGCAGTGATTTTTATTGGTAAACTGATGAACTGTTTATCTAGCCCCCCCTCAAAAAATTAAGCATTTGGCTAAACACGTGAAGTAAATGTGGTAAGATATATTCCGGCTGTCCCGCCAAAATGGTATTTGCATAAACACGTGACTGGACGACGTAACATAATTTCAAGCTGTCCGTAAGGCTTACCATTTTAATTGGACGTGACATTATTTGTTGGAAGCACTGTATATATGTATATATACATATATATCTACATACATAAATACATATAAAAATGACATCATAAAAGAACAGTCTAGTCAATTATATATTATACATATAAGCATGAACATGCATATTATCTTGTGCGTGTGTATTATGTGAATTAAGTAAGTGTGTGACTATATTGGTATTGGTAAGCGTCTGTAGATGTAATAAAACTATATACATGTTGTCTATATAGTTTATTGTATTTAAAGCCTTTACCCATGATGGGTGTAATTCAAATTTAACAGAAAAAATTTTTTTTAAAGAAATAAATAAATAATAAGTTGGCGCAATTATTTATATTTTGTATTATATAATTCCAAGAATATATGTTTATCAGAAACAACAAAAATTTGCTTATATTTGTACATTTTATATATAGTATACATTTTAGAAATAACCTTTTTTTTTTAAATAAAAATAAATGAGTAAGTAGGTGAGGGAGGGAGTTGTGAGATATATATATATATATATAAAGAGATATTTAGGTGGAAGTAAAAGATAGTTAGATAGTTAGATAAAGAGGGTGTGTGTATATGTTTGTATGTTTGTATGTGTATGCTTATGAGTATGCAATATGTATATATAAATATGTTTGTTAAAGGTGTAGTGTATGTGTATATTTGTGGGTGTATATATATATATATATCCTTGCAACAATTCAACAGCAAGAGTATACCTCTTTAGAATGTATACACCAATACACATACACCAACACAACACATACATACACAAGTATATATATATATATATATATATATATATATAACTTCTTCTTCTTTTGGTATTTTCTCTTTTCTTTTGTTCTGTCTCTATTATATATATATTATGGTGATTGTTCTAGTCGGATTTGAAATCTTCAATAAGAGCTTCAATTGACTCCTTGGTACCAAAAATAAGACCAACGATTCCCAGAATAACGACTAGTCCGCACCAAATGAGCTCATAGAAAGGCTTGTTTCGGAAACCGGTCAGACGCAGGTAGAACATGACCGGAAAGATGAAAATCAGAGTACAGTTGGCAAAGGCTCCCAACAAGGACATCAGATCGTCAAAGTGTGGGACCGAGACACCGATTACTCCAAGGATAACCAGGATCACGATTCGCAGGAATGCACGCACAAAGAATTCGCCCCATTTGCCCAGCCTGGCCACAGTGATATTGCACATCTCTTCGATGTCGAGTGAGAGCGAGGTGATCAGGATTGGCGCGGCTGTCAGGACGTGGATGGTCATCAAGACAATTGCGATCGTGCGTGGCACACCGGTCGGGATACTGTTGTAGATCGGACTCAGGACGGTTGTGCCGTAGATGTAGTAGCCCGGAACAGCTGTGACGATGTACATGATTGCGCAGGTCGAGAGGCCGGCAGCCAAGACCATAGGCCACTGCTTGGGCGACTTCATGGACGCCTCGACGTGGGGGTAGACGACATTGCCGCCAAACGAGAACGAGATGGTACTGAGGGCGATGGGGAACTGGTCCCAGATGACAGGGTTGTGCTGGATGTTGGTCTGGTTCTTTTGGTCGAGACAGGCCATCACAAGCACGATGACGACCACGATGAGGGTTGCTGCAGCTCCAAATGCACTCATGAATGCGACTTCCTTCATAGATTTGACGAGCACGAATGGAATGGCCACGATTGCGCAGGATATAATGATCCAAGGGGTGTTGCCCAGCTCGGCCACGGTTCCCTGACAGAGCTGGTTGAGATTACTGCCGGACAGGACCATGTAGAGAACCGGGGCGCCAAGAAGGAGAATGAAGTTGAAAAAAAAGGTGACCCATCCACCGACGAATCCGAATGCTGCTGTTGCAATGTCTTTGTAGGTATGTAGTCTGTGTTTTCCACAAGCATAAAGGCAACGGACCAAGATTATTCCAGTGTACTATAAGTAAGTAAGTAAGTAAGTTAAAGATGTTGATAAATATTAAACACTAAATACTAAATACTAAATTCGATTTGAATTTTTTTAAAAAAAAAATATTTACAATTGACATTGCCCAGGCTAGGAATATTACAAACACACCGATCCATCCACCCTGTTTCAAGGCATATGGCAGACCGAGTGTTCCAGTACCAGCAACCACACACACTACGTTAAAGTATGCAAGGAATGATGATCCTGCTCCTTCACGGTCAATGTCTTTGAAGGACTGATCTGCCGAATCAACAACTATAGAGCTCTATGAGTACTTGTTCAATTGATCCTACAAGCTTTACTATTATTATTTTTTCGTACCACTAAATGCTTCAAATGACACATGGTCTTGTATGTCGACCGACTGTTTCTTCTCTTCGTCAATCGCCTTTTGATTCTTTGAATTCATAAGGGAGTATGTTTTATAGAATTATTTTTTTTATGTGTATATATAAGATGCAATAAGTCAATAAGAAAGAAAAGAAAAGAAAATATTTAAAAAGAAGGATAAATTATTATATATATATATATATTTTGTATGTGTGTATAAAAATTGTATATAATTAATTTTTAATCAACTAACTATTTATGTATACTATGTATATATAGTGTATAAAATAGTTAATAAAAAATATATAAAAGAAAGAGAGAGAGAGAGAGAGAGGGTAAAGAAATAAGAAGAAGAAGAAGAAAATGAAAAGTAAAGAAGTCAAAATTGACTATTATTTATTTTTTTTTATATTTTTTTTATATAGATTTATATGTATCTATGTACTTTAATTTTAATTTATATATAAATAAATACTTCATTTTGTTGCCATGGTTTTATAGTTTGGCAAGTTTATTTTGTATGTGTGTATATATATATATACATATATATATCTGCGTATATCAAATGCATTATAATTGTGATACAGATATATATACATAAATATAAGCTCTAATAATTCAATGCGTCTGGTCTGATCTCTATATAAATCATCCTTGTGTATCTAAATCTTCCTTGTGTGTCTCATTCTCTCGCTCTTTTGAGCCTACCGATGTATGTGTGTATATATATATAAAAAGTAGATGTATTGTACTTGTGTTGTACTGGTTCACACTCAGATTCATGTCTTTTTTTTTCTTTTTTGTCTGGTTGGATGAGGACTACTTGAGTCATATGGCCCTTCATCCACATATATCTTTTGGATTTTATTAATCTGACATTTAATTTAATTTTTTTTTGCTAAAAAAAAAAGAACCAACAAGAGATGATTACCTTTATTCTCTCAGGCACACTTGCACTACAAGCACTACAAGCACTACATTGAACTGCATTGAATTGAATCGAATTGAATTGAATTGCATAAAAGATAATGAGTTATATATAATATGATATGGTTATTTGTCAATTAGAGTATAATATACCATTGTAAATAAAGACCATGTTCTCTTTTTATTATTATTAATCATCGGTTTAAAATGATGGATACTGGTCCTTAAGACCCTGCCTTGATTCAATTTCCCACGAAAAAAAACACATAAAATAAAAAGAAAGTAATAGTAATAGTAATAATAGTAATCTAAGTTGGTGCAACAAGATCAAAACCAAACTTAATCTCCATAGTAACCATATTTTTTTTCTTTCTTTCTTATATCTATTTCTTTTGTGATCGAAAGATACATTTATATAAATTTTATATGCATGTGGATTTGTGTATCACAACTTACCAATGATACACTCTTTATTTTACTTCTTTCTATTTTCTTAACAGCACAGATATATATATATAATCTATAGTCGTACAACTTTTTATTACTATCCTTTGTTCACAAATTGAATATCGTTCGAGAATTGGTCTGCAATAACTATATACTTTATTTTATTATTTATTATTATTATTATTATTATTATTATTTTGTCCCTGGGTACCAATATAGACAAGGGTCATGTTTTATTGATAAAAAAAAAGATCATAGATCATAGATGAAAGATGGAGGTTGAATATTACGATATTCTCTCTCTCTCTTTTTTTCCCTGTTTGACCTAAAGAGCCACATACTATCGAAACAATTCAATTCAATTCAACTCAATTCAAATCCTCACACTTTACTGTTAAATATATATATACATAGTATCGATATTCATATATCTCTTATAACCCGGAGAAAAAAAATGAATTTAAAAAATGTTGGTGGGAAGATACTCAAAGAAGTGTATAATATAGTAACACTTGAACCAATCTCTTGTTCTTCTTCTTCTTGTTCATTCGACTTTGACAAATATATTAACTATAAAACTAGAAAAGATATTTAAAACAAAAACATTGTTCCTATCACAAAATATCTAATATCCTTCATGACTAAATTCAAGTCTTAATATCTCAATCAAAGTCAAAATACAGTTCCAATTCTATAGAAACAAGATATATATATATATATGTGTGTGTGTATTGGCAAGTAAAGCAGACTTGGTCTTGATGTTTAATCCACTGAAATAACTACAATAAATGTTCTGTAGAAATGTCATTGGTATACTGATTTCTATTCAATACTCAAAAACCACCCAAAAATATTAAAAATCATTAAACATGTTTTTTTTTACATTTATCATCTTGATTTAACACAAAAATCGAAAATGACTATCGACATGATTAAAATTATTATATAGCAACAGATTACCAACAGGAAACTCAAGGTGTATACAGTAGCTATAATATATACAGAGTATTGATCTATTGATTGGGAAATATAACAAAATAAAGACGTTCAAGTACTATAGTAAAGGTGAATTCAAATATTGTGCCCTATTAATTAAATACTATCGAGGACACTTTAATCAGAGTGCATGTACTTTCACATATGACAATAAGTCAAAAGAGAGGCTGACTAGTATTTCAGGGATATATTGTTACCTTTATAAACTATATACTTTATTACAAGCATACTATTTATTGAATTATTGTACAAATCAATGATCATTCTGGTTCTGGTTCTGATTCTGGTTTTGAATAGAGGATAAGGTTATCAGCATTTTTTTCGTAAAGAAAATAGGTTTCAACAGATTTCAATCGAAATATCAAGACACCGTGTTGAAGATCTCTTTTCCAAAATCTTTTAAGTTTATAATTATAGCTAGATCTCTTCATGTCCTTTCGTTTCTTTTCCCTTCCTTTTCTTCGTTTAAAGTCTTTAAGGTATCGCTGGCAAAATTCAATGTCACGTCTTCCAAGTTCCCATGCCAACAATCTGCTCTTTCTGTTTGTTTTGTCGACGCACAGATGGTACCAGTTTGATCGAGGTGCTTGTACTTGATCAGTACCAACATTCCCAATTTGTTCAATGACAATATGTAGAAAAAAAGGAGAAATAATACCATAAATATCTTCAGGATCATCAATTTCGGATTCGCTTGTTTTTAACACTTTTAGTTGTGAAAAGGACATATCCACAAGTATTTGCCCCGTTTCATTCATGTCAGAAGGCTTATAGAAAATATTTTTTAATTTCATATATTTCAGCTGTCTACAACGGAAAGATATGTATTTAAAAACAGACACACTGGTTTGTGCCATTTCAATTTCCAGTCTTTGTAACGGGTGTGGTACGTGCATGGACAGCGGATATTCGGGAGAATGAATCATTGAATTAGTAATATATAATGATTGCAAGACTGGGCAATAATTCAAAATAATCTCCATGTCAACACGAGGACAAACTAATATCTTCAATACAGTTAAATTTTTGTAAAGTACAACTGGGTTTGTTTCTACAGGTATAGACTGGTTGCAACAGCTGGAATAGATGTTCAAGCTAATCACTGATTCAGAAAGATATTTGATCCACGAGTTTAAACCATTTTCCTTTGACATATTCTCATTAAACTTAATTGTAGCATGCTTGATCTTTACGTTACAGCGTTGAAGAGTGTCATAAAATAAATAAAATAACCAGTAATTGTTGTCGTGGACTATTATGTTTGCTGTTTGTAGACAAGGAAAGAATTGTTTGCTGGATAACAGTAATTGAGGTTGAATCTGATATTTCTTCTGGTCATAAGGTGGTAGATAGAATCTTGGTTTAAGCTCATGTGACCTTAAATTGCAAGTGACTAGATTGGGATACTTGTGTGCAAAGTAAAATATCCACGATGGATCAATATACGGAAAATATAAAACAATCTTGGTAACAGTGTGTGCTGGTTCGACGTTTCTTATCGTTTCGATCTCTTTTTCGGATATTGGTTTAAATAAAGTATTTATATTGATATATTGTAGGTGTGGAAAGTAGCTGTGAATTGATTCCATATCGGTAAGGGAAGTATCGGGTCTGTTTATATTATCATTATATTGGCAAATTGTGAGGTGAACAAGGCAAGTCAACGGTGACAATTGTTCGAGAAATTCATCTATAGTGAGCTCTACTTTCCGAAAATCTAGTTCCAGGTGTGATAATGTTTTCCAAAGACTCCAATCAGTTTTTACAGCGAATATGTCTTCGTCATATATTAAGTATATAAGATACTTTATTCTGGAATATGTTTGCTGCAATACTAGAATATATTTCAAGTCCTTTGTAAACAATCTGATATTCAAAGCCCACGTTCGATGTGCATTCCATTGATAGACTTCTTTAAGACCGAATTTGTCGAATAGTTTGTTTAACATATATCCGCCAAAGTAAACTTGAGCCCAATAAGCGTTTAAAAATGGCTCTGTCCACTGCTTGCAGACTAGGGCACAGTTACGCCAGTCGTATTTATAGACATGTGTTGCCAGATATGCAAGGATGTTTGGTGGTAGCATCGTTACCATTGTAGCATAGAAGAAATGAGTGAAAATAGAAGAGATAAAGAGAGATGGGGATACTTCATTCAATATTCATCAAGCAATCTATGCATTTATACTATATTGCTTCTTAACATAAAAAATGTTTTCATTTAGAGTTATATAAAAACCACGAGTATTGGCCACATAATGTTTTTTCTTATTAAAAAGTAATCCTTTTAACTATATAAAGAACGTAGCTTCTTTAAATTTGCTCAGCGTGGTCTTCATATGGCTGCCTTGAAATATGTAGCTCAGGACACATACAAGTTATATACACATAACACGTTGACATTTACAAACTATTGTTCCAAAGATCCACAATTAGTATTTCTTATTTTAACTATACAATCTGCCTATAGTTGCCCAATGTCTTCTCTACACAATTCATTGTAAAAATTGGAGCTCTTGTCCTCCCCGAAGTACTTAATAGGTAAGAATAGTCTTTTACTTTGTTAAAAAAAAAGGTAGGCTGGCATGCGAATTGTTTGAAAGCAGCCTTATTTACATTGTCCAATGATACAATCTCTGGAAACTTACTAAATATGTCTTTTGATAAGAATACTTTTCTCTTTGAATATGCGGAAACCAATTTTTCTGTCTTTATAAATATTAGATTAAGGAACTTGGATTCCTATTCTCCAACCATCCTGAAAGGGCCCTTACCCAAGATTTTTCTCCAAAAGCCATTCAAACCTTTATGCGATTTTCAATTGCAGCTATACCACTACCCTTTCCATAGGCAAATACTGGTCAGTGGAAACGTTTTTGAGATGCTGGCCTGCTAAATAAAACATATACACTATGGTGAATATTAATACATAACGGAATCCCTTGTCGCCAGCGGTTGTTTGCATTAAAAATTAAAGACGTCGATGATTCAAATTACCTTTTGTGTGGCTTTCCAGAAGATGAAAAGCATTTTTTATGGGCTTGGAATTCCAAGACCACTATTTGGCGACATACTTACAATAGGTTTCTTATAGACCCAACCAAGCTTCAATATTAACACCTGCTTAATCCTGCTCCCCCTTCTTTAATAAGAACCCAAAACTCTGATATCAGCATGTTACAAATTATAGGTTGTATAATAAGAAAAATATGAGAAGCGCACTTTTGCCTGGTTTTTGACGAGGTACCTTTCATAACTAAACAAATAGCCACCATTATTACTCTCAATATCAGAACAATAGAAGCGGAAGAAGTACTTGCCTATCTCTAACGCACTATAAAATTTCTCGTCTTCCATTATCTAATAAGCAATATAATAAAAATTGCAGTTCAAGTTTATAACGATGCTATACGCGGTGTTTTCTTTCCCTCCTGGCTGAAAACCGCACTCGCTATCCTTCTCAAGGAAGGTGACATGATCTCCCTCCGCAACTGGCAGCCAATCTCTTTGATAAAATGTGACGCCAAGTTGTTTACCAAAATAATTACGTCCCGTTTACGCTATGTTATTGGCCAACTTATCGCACCTTTTCAAACTGGGTTTATGATGGAGCATTTTATCACAGACAATGGCTTGCTAACATGACTCGCTATGTAGCATACCCAACTAACCAAGGACTTTTTTGTTGACCTCGTTTTGGATCAGGAGAATACTTATGACCATGCTCAACCTGGATACCTTTGTCTGGTCATGGCCAGGACCGGATTTCCCACCATGCTCGTCGAATCTGTATGTGGTATTTTCTTCTCGACTCAAATTCATGTAAATATGAATGACCATATATACTCTTATTTTTTACAGAGTCAGGGACTACGTCAGGGTGATCCCCTTTCTCCATTACTTGTTAACTCGGCCTTCAAACCTTTGCTTAGATCCATTCTTGCTTCTCTATCAATCCGTAATTTCCAGTTTCTGATTCCGCCCTCTCTCTCATCGTCCTGTCCCGATCTCTCACTATCTCTACTCAGGTTTCTCGCCTATTCCGATGTACTTCTTGTCTTTCTCTCTTTGCCCGCCGATAATAATACTTTACTAAACCCTTTGCATACATTTGGCTTAGCATATAATACGAAAGTCAGTCTCCACAAGATGGTTACTGTTGCTATGTCTTGACAGTTCTATCCGGATTGGGGCACTGTACTAGATGTTGCTGATATCCACAGTCTCCATGACCGCCACTCCACCACTAAAATCAGTTACCTAGGCTTTTCATTGGGCTCATATATCTCCCAGATTGAAGCTTTCGGTGCTGCTTTACTGGTCCAGCTTGGTGACCGTTGCACGCTACTATCTCAAAGATGCTTGTCCGTACGTGGTAAAAGTATTGTGACGAACTCACTTTTTTTCAGCTCGGTATTTCGTGTACTATATGCGACTCCTGCCCTACTATCTTTCTTTGGTGCCATTCGCACCAATATTTGCTCGGTGCTGCGCCTGGTTTTTGGTAGCTCTGGTTGGCCGTTTCTATGTCTGCCACGCAAATATGGGGGTTTGGATCTGCTTGACTTCGATTATCAACAAAGAGCTCTTCAATTATGATGGATTCTTCCTATATTGCACTATCACTCTTTTTCGTCTCCCTCATTTCTGTTACATTTCCTTAAATTTCTCATTTCATTACACTTTATGGCTCCTATTGCTAGTATTGCACTTCTTTTCCTTTGTAGTTCTGCAACTTTCCCGACTTCACTTCTTCCACCGCATCGCGCTAATACCTCACTTCTTTCAGCCTTACTCCCATCCAACCTACGCCTGCAACCACCGGTAGTTCAACACTTTCCTCTGGCTTTTCTATGGATGTATTTACCACCTTTTGTTGAATATTATTTGAGCCTCAAAACACTCCTTGTGTCTGATGCATTTTCGATTAAAGAAGATAGCTGTTTCGCCCGCAAATCTCGGAGTACCTTCTCTTGGGCATGTAACTATATTGGCCAATTCTTTTGGCAGCTTGATTCTGGAAGTATGGTACACTGCCCTTGGTTTATTTCTTGCCTTCAACCCTGTGACTCCTTCGACCCCACCCCTCCCGATGTTTCCTTTCTTCTGTCCTTGGTGTAACCAGACAATGCTAGGTTTGGTGAAGCCTGCACTGGGTCTCTAAGTCGTCATATTCGCTCAACATCAAAACCACCGCCCAGTTTATCCATCCAATGGCACAAATTTTGGTCCGTCCTTATTCCTCACCACTGTCTAACTGTCTGGTAAACATTGTTCTGGGATCGAACCGCAGCAAAACAGCGTTTGCAACGTTTAATGCCCCTTCGCTTCCCTAGCTCTTCCTGCATTTTGTGCAATGCCGCCACCGAAGATCAGTATTACTTCTTCTTTTGATATTCTGTAAAGCTTCAATTGTGGAATGTTTTCCTTTCTCGCTTTTGTCAATTTTGGAACCTTGATGATGTCCACCCTCTCCTGACCCGTGGCACTTTCCCCCCACGTTCCTCTGATCAAAACTTCAAATAATCGTTTCTGTTACCACTGTCAAGACCATATCGAGTGCGCACAGGAAGTTTATCTTTGATGAGCAACCTTTTCTTGCTGGCGTATTTGCACAGAAGACATCCATTGTAATCGAGAAACACAGATCAGCACTAGTTTAACACTTTTGTCTCCTCCCTATTCACCAAATGCTCATGTTTTATACTTTCAGCCTTTATCTTTTCTTTCAGATCCTTATTTTCTCTCAAATCCACCAAGTTCACTTTGATGGCATTTTAAAATATGCACCCAGAGCATGCCAAAAGGTCAATAAAATACTAAAAGAAAAAAAAATCGTGGAAAGATTCAGTCTCGTTTGTCCTCACACAACTTATACCTAGCCCGTTCCTCTAGAATTATGTTGTCCTGGATAATGCCCATGTTCTTAAAGTAGCCTTCTGAGTTGTCAAGGTATGTGTCGGCCACGGGAGGTTTGATGACCGATTCCCTGATGATGGAGACGCTGAAGATGGTACCTTCAAACTCGCAGGTATTTTCAATAGAAACGTTTTTAATGGAGGCTTTGCTTGTGGGAAAGTTGTTGATGGACGCATTGCCAATGGAGGTATTAGAGATGAGTGGCTTCGTAATGTTTGCTTTGACGTTTCAATCCTTGCTGTTGGAAGTAGCTGGGATAATGGTTTTCATCTGGGGAGTATTAATGATGGAAGCTTTTGAGCTGGAGCCATTTGCAATAGGTGTGATGTTCAATCTACTGGTCATCTTCTTAAAGAAGATACAGTTCACAGTGAAAAACGAGGTATTCGAGATTGTTTATGAGTTAGTATCTCAATACTGGGAAAGATAGATACTTTGAAAGTGTTATTTATTAAAGAGAATCAAAACAGTATTGTTTATATCTATTACTATTCGAATCGCTTGTAATTGAAATCCTTGTCGTGTAATTTTTGGTTTGTTTACACTGTATAAGTGTGTAGTGTACGTATGCTTGGTATGTAATAGTTCTGGAGATTGTTAGCTTGTCCAGTTTATTAGCAAGAAGGAACCAGTGTTTGGTTGCAGAGTCTGTTATTCACTCAATTGTGATGTTTATACCACAAGTCCGACGGATCGCTAAGAAACATTCTTGTGGTTCCACAGCTTGGCGGACTCAACAAGAGAAGTCCCTTCAAAGCAAACGTAACCATCTAATGCGTAAATTTACGATAGAAAATATCCACAACACCTAGCTTTCAATTGTGTAGCGCCAATTGTCCATTATTCAACAAGAAACTGTTGAAATACTGGCTACGAGGCCCAATAACACTGGAGAGAAAAGGGTGAATGGTCATCTGGGTATTTGAAAAGAGTTGTTTCGGCAAAGGCTATTAAAAAAGATATACATTCTTTGTGTCACCCCGTCTCAGAAGCCTTGTGCACTATATTTGATACCATGACAGATGCGGCCACGCACTTTTATGAAAAGCAGTACAGTGTCGATCCAATTAATGATTCACCCGTTGAAGATCTACTTAGCCACGTCCCTTCTAACCAATTCTTTAGTGAAGCCACTCGATCCTCCATGACATTTTCACTAGCATTCGACGGTATATGTGCAGCAGTCGGCCGCTCCCCCCACTATAGCAGCCCTGGCCCGGACAGTATGCCCTACGAGATTATTTCTCTCTTATTTCGAGAAGGTGCATATGCCCAACTTTTTAATGAGCATTTACAACGACGATCTCAACAAAGCAGTCTTCCACCTTCTTGTAGCTCTACTTGCTTGTCACTTCTTTCAAATAAAATAGATCTTTTCTGTCTTAAAAACTGGCGGTCCATTACACTGATCAACGCTGATGCAAAAGTGTTTACTCGTATACTGAATGCCTAAATTATCTATGCTTCAAATTTCCTTATCAATCACTACAAAACTGGTTTTGTGAAAGGTCAGTTCATAGTTGACAGTGAGATCATAACTCGCATGGTTATACAATACACCCAAAAAACCTTTGATATCCCAATTGGTCTGATGTTTGACCAAGAGAAAGCATGCAATCGTGTACACCCCGAGTATTTAAGACTAGTTCTTCAAAAATTCCGGTTCCCAGACACGATAATGCACTGTGTCTCACTATCGTTTTTCTCCACTAGTATGTCAATCAATGTCAGCAGTTTTTTGTCAGCGTCAATTGTACAAAATTGAGGTCTCCGAAAAGGCGATCTTCTGTCCCCTGTTCTGTTCAACCTTGCTTTCAAACTTTAGCTTCGGCGATTAGCTGTCTAAAACTCTCTTCCAGGGTTTGTTCTATCCATCAACGACCACACTGACCAGCCCCCACCACCACCCGTCAAACACTTAGCTTACGCGGATGTCGTTTCGTATTTCTTGAGTCATAATCTGACCTTGATACTCTACACAGGCATTTGGGCACTTACTCAAGAATTTCAAATGCACGGATTAACATACACAAGACACAATCCTTTTCTTTATCCGGCGACTAACTACTGGAGTGGCGCACACAGCTATGGCGAAAGCTTATTACCTCATGGCACGATCGTACTTATCCAGCTTCTCTCACATATTTAGGGCTTCCATTGATATAATCTCTCACACAAATAGATCAATTCAGTACATCACTCCTGAATACTATCAAATCGTCTTGTAGCATGAATATTTGGTGATTACGTTCGGTTCTAGGTCGAGCTACTGTCTTGAACACGTTGATTCTCTCCCGTATTTGGCATGCTCTTCGAATAAAAACTGTCCTCAAAAGGTTCTTCGACGAACTCTGTTCCATCTTAGGCCGTTTCCTCCGGCGGAATATGCTCTCTATGGCGATCCTGTCTTCTATGTTTTCAGAAACTGCAAAAAGGCTTAGGCGTGTTGGACTCGCAGATTCAACAGAAAGTACTGACTATGCAATAGCTACAACCGATTCTTGACAGCTAAACATCGGCATCCTTTGTCACCCCTTAAATAAAGCACTTTCTTGACCCGCACAAGTCCTTTGGGGACCCTCACCTTCATTTGTTGGTTGCAATACTGCGAATCATATCTTTAAGGACAAAGAATGGTGCACTTTCCACTCTCATGTGTGCTATGCACTCTATCACATGAAACTTTTCTCTTCTCACTTTGAGCTGCACCACTTGTCTTTCTCTGAAGCTGCTGGATGGCGTAACCTACACAGCTTCTTCTGCACCTAACACCTCTGGTTGGAAGCGCCTTAATGCTTCTGGAGCATTTATGTTTGATTAGAGCCTCTAAGCTATCCCCTCCCAAACGCAAGTTCAACGGTCTAAATCGTCATGTCTGATAGATAGGGTGTTTCAGGATATAGAAAATACAGCTACTGAGCTCACGCCTTTCCTTTGGCGCGCTACATTGCCTCCCAATGACCACCCTGAGTTGCAACTGCTAGCTAATCCTTTGATAATAAATCACAAGCTATTAGTTTTACTCCTCCCTTTGCAAGCTAAACAATGGCGTTCATTTTGGGGCTTTCCACTCCCATTACACCTCCCGCAACATATGCTATCGCTCTATACTCAACTCCTTGTCGTGTCAGTACACCATATACAACTGTGCTCCGACCATATTTGTCACTAAAAAGTGTCCCATTTGCTTGTCTGAGGTAGACTCTCTCTCTCTCGTGTCCTCTACCAGTGCCCACAGAAGTGGACAGTATGGGAAGCTACCCTGAAAATAATAATAATTTGGACTGTCCCCATTGACATTTGATATTCATCCCACAATCTTCTCTCTGGAAATCCTTGACCACCCACTACCTGTCTTCCATGTTCGGCCATGTCAAATTATTAGCAGCAGCATCTTGGCCCTGTGGTGCACTCACTGAAGCTTTTCTTCGACATCCGGTCTTTTCACATCTCCTCGATTAATTCTAAAATAGACACCATTGTTTCGCACATCTCCTCTGACTTGGATTTAACATACACTTTCCTTAGGCTTTTATTTCTAAATCTTAAAACCCCTCAGAAAACTCCAAAAACATTTGTATTTCTTTCTTAACACACAATAAATATCAGGACTAGTTCCTCAATACCAAAAAAAACCAAAGCAGCATGGAAAGGTACTCGACACTGTGAATAAGGTTCTAGATACGAGAAAAGACGGAAGCTCAGTCAGTAGCAACAGTACTAACACGATTCTTACTCTTCCCTGAAAACCAAGTGCATTGCAAAAAAAAATACCCTGAACTGTACAATGGTAGCCCAAAACAAACCATCACAAATGCACCAGTGCGCAGCTAGTATCTATCTGGTAGCAGTCTTCCTATTCATTCCTCAGACTACAGACAGTCAGCAGCGGAGAACTGAGCCCTGAGCCCTGAGCACATAAACGAAGATAACGTTGGTAAAAGGGGTTATTTGGCCAAGTAATAGTTCATGAAGCTCCCAGCTAATATTAGTACCAAATCCAGGTAATACTCTAAGATACTGCATCAATTATGAAACACTAAATGATGTGACCGGCAAAGACTAGTTCCCCTTACCACATATCGATGATCTATTAGACAGGGCGATTTATCCCAAATATTTCTTGACACTAGATCTCAAGTACGGCTATTGACAGATTCCCACGAGCCCAGGAGACATATGTAATACTACATTTTCCACGGAGAAGAGTCTTTTTGAATTCCTCGTAATGCCATTAGGCGTTACTAACTGCCCAGCCATTTCACAATGCCTCATACAGCAAATCTTTTATTAGCTGGATTTCACTACCATTTGCATTGACGATGAGTTGACTTATTACGCAACCGAAACAGAATATATGGTACACATCTCAAAGGTTCTAAATACACTAGTGAAATGAAACCTCAAGATCAGTATCAAGAAGTGCCATTTATTAGTCACAGAAGCCGAGTCTTTCGGGTATTAGGTGTCCGGCAATGGTATCGGACTAGATCCTTCCAAGACTTGCCCAAGCCTACTACGATTTAGGAACTACAGATGTTTTTAGACATTTGTAACTTCTATCATCGTTTTTTTTTCTGCAAATATTTCTGTGATAGCCATTCAAGAATACCAATTGTTAAAGAAAGAAGGTGTTTGGACGTGGGACGAGAATAACAATGCTTTCAAAATATCGAAAGAAAAACTAACAAAATTACCGCAACTCGAATATCCAGACTCCAATTTTTCATATGAACTACACACCGGCGCCAGCGACACCGGCACAGAAGCTGAATTGGTTCAAGAGACCCACCCAGTCGTATTCGCTAGCCGTTCTCTCTTACTCGCCGGAAGGAAGTATAGCACAACTGAAAGATAATGTCTGTCTGTAGTATGGCTATTAAGATTTCCCCATTGTTATATCCACAGAGCGAGTTTGACTGAATTCATGAATTATGCAACACTAAAGACAATACTCACAACCAAGAGTCCAAGGGGTAGAATAGCCTGTTGAGTAGCAAATGTGATTACCTACAAGTTTACTGTAGTACATTGTAGAGGTACTTATAATAAGGACGCAGATGCATTGGGTTGTGCATGTTTTACCAGTCTCAACCAGAGCAGCGCTCAAATAAACAGCCGGACTATAAGCAGGAATATGATACGAGAGCAGCAAATGTGCTATCCGGAGATCAAACATCTCCAAACTTTCAAGGAAAACTAATTCTTCTGGAAAAGGGGCGTGTCCGGTAAAAATCTCAGGGCACTCGCTATCGTGATCCCTCACCCAATACGCCAATTATTTCTTGCGTCAATCCACGCTCATCCAGCAGCTAGCCATTTTGGCCATGATGAAATACTGAATAAAACACAGCAGCATGGATGGATAGTGATCGTGGTATGGTCATCACAATTTGGTGAAGAACAGACTCTACGACCAAACACTGGTTCCTTCTTGCTAATGAACCGAGCAGTCTAACAATCTCCGGAACTGTTACATACCAAGCATACGTACACTACACACTTATAGAGTGTAAACCAGCCAAGCATTACACAACGGGGATTTGAATTACAGGGATTTTAATAGTAGCAGATATAAACAATATTGTTTTGATTCTCTTTACTGAATAACACTTTCAAAGCATCTATCTTTCCCAATATTGAGACACTAACACAGCAATAGTCCCAAATACTTCAGTGATTGTCGATTGTAACTGACACAAAGACATATGCACAAAAATACCCAGAGTTTTTTTTTCACTACAACCAACTCACATACAAGCTTGGAAACCTATAAAGTTTTAAGGTTCATTTTTTGGGAGGATTGTAGGACGTCTATATTGTAGTTCTGCCAGAATCTAAAATAGGAAGCCAATATTTATTAGTGCTAGCGAAATACCTAACCAGATGGGTGATAACAGCCGCTCTGCCTCGATTCGATTCGAATAAGATTGCTCACGTATTGACTCTCAAAGTAGTTCTACTATACGTGGTACTGAAAAGATTCCTCACAGACAACGGAACTGACTTTGTCTCAGAGGCAATGAGAATAGTATGCCAATGAATGAGAATAACCATAACAATAACAAGCGTTGAGCACCATCAAGCAGGCTGCTTGGTAGAGCAAATGAACAACCCTACTAAGACAACACTGGCAATTTACGCAGAAAAAAAAAGACGTCCAATAATGGGGTGAATAGCTATTATTCGTAACTTTTGCTATCAATACGGCCGAACAAACATTAACAGGAAAATTACCTTTTGAGATAATGTTTGCTAGACGAGCCAACTTACCAGCCACCGGCGACTTCAACCTGTCATAGATAAAATTGCACCCTACAAAAACATGGATCTGACATTCTAATCATTACCTTCCAATAATCCAACAAGATGTAAAAACAAACTTACAAAAAAACCAAGAGCGACAAAAATATAACTATGATAAGAACCTCAGAGAAAAACAACAGTTTAAAGTCAAGGACATTGTCATGAAGATAAAGCCAAAAAAGACTTGTAGAATTCAGGGAGAAAACAATGAAAAGTGGGTTTCTTGATTGTCCATGTCAAAAATTCTGAAAAAAAGGGCACAACTGTAATTCAAGAACAACTGTATCCAATAGAGAAGAAAGGTTTATCTCCTACATACAATTTGAATGCTGCAATTCCACCTTTAGTGCCACGCCCTCGTCCGAGCATGATTGCTATAGATGTGCGACCTACATTGAACACTAAACCCAGCAACAGAAAGAGACGTAAATCTTAACGACTTCTTACTCTGAGACATTACAATACCCACAGCAATAGCTTGCTCGACAAAGCTCTCGCTGAACGAAATTCATTTCATGGAATTGTGCCAGCATGAATAAGTCTCACTTGCAGATTGCCACCTTAAATTGATGTAGCATTTTGAAGGTTGACTACCCACAGACACAATTAGTGTTTGTTATATATATATATATATATGTTCTTGAGAACTTGGTCTCGATATGTTCACAATCCAAAAAGTCACACATTTATCTGAAGCCAGTCCTAAATTTTCTCCTAATTACATCACCCTGCTACAACATCTCTTTCGGCACACATCTTCCATCCTCACTCGACACTGTACTGTAATATACCCAACCCCCGATATCCAACTCTCGGATGAATTTGTCATGGTTGACCGCCGTTGTATACATGCTACTATAATAGGCCCAAGCCTACACACTATTTGTCACTTTGTAGCTATATATATGGCCTAGCTACCCGGAATGAGAGCACTTGGTTTTACTCCTGCGTCAAGACTTTGTTCCACGATATGATACATACTTGCAGCTGGATTATGTTAGGGAACCTTACTCTTAACCTTCATAAGAGACAGCCCCGCACGCTGCAACCTTTAGTTCTCTGACTCGGAGCCCATTTTGCTAACTATTTGCATGATACATGGTATGAAGATACTGTGAGGGAACAGGCTATTCCTACTTTCCATCGGAGCGACACTCGTTACACAATAGACTATAGTTTTGGGCATGTGTCTTTTCGACCTCGCTTGGCTAACACCGGAATAATGCATTTATCTCCATGTTGTACTTGCCGCTCATTCTTAACCGTCGACCTAGCAATCCAAGACCATGCCCCTAGTTATGGCACATGGCGCTTTAATTCTTTTCTCTCTCTAAAATTCCGGATTTCGACGTCTTCTACGTACTACATTTGACAAGTTATTTTACTTCCAGTGTAGTGGTTTGACTCCACAGGTTCAGTGGAATTTTTTCTTTAAAAAAAGAGTCATTAAACTTACTGCTCAAGAATATGATAAACAAGCATCCCGTACACATCAGAAAACCACTAATAGTCACCAAACACAACGTGTGACAGTCCCACGTCTATCACACAGTGAGGATCGACGGATAGAATCAGAAAATATTGATTATGAAACTGTACCTGCCATTGAAGAAAGACATAGATACCTTTTCCTCTGGTCCAACACCCCTCGATTGGAAAATGATGAGCAGAGGAAGAAGTATTTCTTCAAAGTATTCTGTCAAAGACTGATTTCTGATAATGGATGGACTATCCGAATACTGATGACGTACCTCAAGGCTTTGGCCTTCTCATCATCGACACTAGGTGCTCAATTTGAACAAGAAAGGGCTTACAATAGAATGCATCCGACTTAGATCAAACAAGTACTGCAAGCATTTGGATTTCCGGACCAGTTAGTATCTTCTATCTACTCTCTTTTATTTTAAACCCAGATTCATGTATAAATCAATGGGTGGTCAGTCACCGCGCTTCCCCAACAACAAGAATTGAGGCAAGGTGATCCGTTTTTGTCAATGCTTTTCAACCTGGCAATTAAATCCTTGCTCCGCCGTATAATCATTGGCCCTAATTTATTGGGCTGCTCGATCCTACACCAAACTGGTAGATATCATGTCGCTCATTGCCCATCGATACGTAATGTCCCACAGTAAGAAAGTCCTTCCCTCAAACATCTAGCTTATGCAGATGATCTTTTGATTTTTTCCAGGGGTCTAGAAGAGTAGCCTACTTTGATTGAACAAGAAGAATCTATGGTCTGGCCTCTAACGCCCATATTAACCCGCAAAAAAGCTCAGGCCTTATCTCTGATAAGTATTAACCACCTTAGTTGATAACCACTTTGAGACGAGGAAAGCATCCCATGGCATGACGAAGATACACCAACGGCACTGATGTACTTGGGCTACCCTTTGTACAGTCACCCGCGATAACGTGACAGTTTTCTAAAGGGGATCTTTTGCAAAACGGAAAAGTTTGTCAACATACTTTGGCTAAGACGAATATCTATTAGAGGAAAATCTATTATATCAAATTTATAGCTGCTTGCAAGACTCTGATATTTCCTGTGCGTGACTATTGTGCCTAATTATTGTCTGCGGAAGTTTCAGATGGTCATCCGATCGTATGTTCTATACTTCTTTCTGCGATCTGCTGGATGGGCACTTAATTGACACAGTAACCAGGGCAGTTTCCGAGGGATATATGCTTTTCATCAATCCTCAGCTTTACACTTTGTGTACATACAACGACTAATTTGGTACAGAACGTTTTGGCGTGGGACAATCGTTTGTCTTGTCTTTGCTAGAAAATCCTATCATAATATACACGTTAACTCACAGTTACATCCATCCTTTTGTCCCCTGACCGATATCATTATTGTTTATTCTACAACTTTCTATACACCCAATTGTAAAGTCAGATGATTCTTCTTGGTTTTTGAGGGCAGAGGCAAGATATATTGTATCTGATATAATGATGGGACACAGAGGCATGTCAACTGCTCCCGGAGACACCCACAGCAAGTACTCGATTATATACAATAGCGTGCCGAGCCGGATTGACTAATGGTTTGCTGGTTATGAGCTCGAATATGCGAGCCCATTTTAAGTGCCAACAGAGAGAATACCCAGGGGGATATCGATTTATCTTCTTTGGTTTTATTGTGGGCGATCCATGGTCAACCTGTGGTAGACGCAAAAAAAAAACAATATGATTTGGTGCTACTGAAACGCTGAGATCACAAAGACTTACGGATCCCCCATACACAGCTTGGCGGTGTTTATTAATTGATTCAACCTCGACTTGGTCTCGACTTGATCACATTATATGTGAAAAGTTCCCTTCTCCCAATTGAACTGTATGCGATTTGGATATGAAAGATGGCCGGAATTTCTGGATTTCATGTCATATGAAGTAGGTCTTCTGGTGATAAGCGCTGGAAAAATACAAGATCCCGCAACTAGCCTAGAGTCAGAAACGTTTTGTGGTTATATATCACACTGACACATCCCCGATCTGAAACTGGGACGTCAGTACTTGCAAAATACTAGAGATACTAGGCTTTTTCCTCCTGGCATTATGGCAGCACTCGCTGACGTTGTATATTCGACTGTAATACCTACGCCACATCAGCGATTATTGATTCCCTTAAAGGCAACCATGATAGATATGGCCCTTTGGCTTTTCGTCTGCTTTATAATTCTTGTTACAATCTTCCCTCCTCTTTCCCTGTAATAATTCTACAAATTAATTTAGCTTCAGTTCAATAGTAAAATAAATACAACACACATATTTAAATAGACATCTTGTTGACTACGGTTACTGGGTAACCCAAGACCGGTCAGAAATAAAAACTTGTACAAAAAAATTGCCTTTTTCTTAGTGCTTCTGACTCTGCACTGTTTGTATAGGACGCCAAAAATAGAGGGAAAGTAGCAGTGAGTCAAGTCGAGTGACTTGAGAGTTGAAGGATTTTTAAAGGTATAAAGAATAAAGAAAGAGAATAATAGTTAATGTAACTTTTATGAATTAATGTTAACGAAATTATTTTCTAGTCGAAAAAGAAAATGAATGCCAAATTGATGCCTATTTTCTGCACAGACTGGTATTTTCTATAGCCATAGTGGCGGCTTTAAGAAGGCTAATGATTAAACCACAAAAGATTTAAAATTCTTTTATCCCCAAAAAAGCTTCAGATTATTATGCTACCCTTTTTCATTACTTAGTCATTCCTAGGTCCATATATCATTTTATAGATATCGCATTAGCTTTTTTTTGTCTGGTAGCTCGGGTACGTTCCTTGTTATCTTCTACTGTGAATCTCTTTTTAACAAAATCAAGACAACAGAAAAAGGTAATAGTAAAACAACAGCCAACCATATTATTATTATAGACAAACTTAGTGGCAAGAAAATGAATACTGGTGGAAAGACAATTTTAGTAAAGAACAAATTAAGGAGAGCTAGTTAACTACGTTGGGTCATTTTTACAGCTACACCACCACTTCAAAGTTGATTTTAATGAGCGATATCAAAAGAAATCCCGCCCGTGCTATAGTAAACTGAATGAATGTTTCATTAGAAAATACACCTTGTTTACCTTTCCAAGGAACCCAAGTTTAATAAGACAGCTTTCAAGTGTAATATAGTAGTACCAAAAACATTATTAATAATATTTTTTAAAGACAAATTTAAGATCAAAATCAAAGGGGCAAAACATAATGATAATTTCAAAGTCAAATGAGATCAAAATTTTTTGTTCAAATTTTTATAAGGGGAATATAAGTTAGGTTAAATTAAATTAAGTATACTTAGATATTCCCGGCCATGCTAGTCCAGTCGAGTCCAGTTGGTTCCAGTCAAGTCCAGTCGGTTTTTTTTTTGGTCCATTTGATTTTTCTTTTGATCTTTTTTTTTGTCCGTTTTTTTTTCTTCTTTTTTTTTGTCCAGTCAATATAAGCTAAGAGTGATAGGAGGAGGAGGAGGATTTTGGTATTGAAAAATAATAAAGGGGATAATTTGGACTTTTTGTTTTTTTTGTTTTTTTGATTCTTTTTTTGATTCTTTTTTTTTTGTCCAGTCAATTTCCCGGAATAGTAATAAGAGGATGATTTTGATATTGAAGGGAATAAAAAAGATAATTTGGACTTTTTTTTTTTTTTTTTTTTTTTTTTTTGCTTTTTTTTTTGTCCAAACACAGCACACATAATAAAGGGGGATAATTTGGACTTTTTGATTTTTTTTTTGATTTTTTTTTTTTAATTTTTTTTTTGTCCGAACACAGCACACATAGTAAAGGGGATAATTTGGACTTTTTGATTTTGATTTTGATTTTTGATTTTGATTTTTTTTTTTGATTTTTTTTTTACTTCTTTTTTTTTGTCCAGTCAATTTCACATAATAGTAATAAGAGAAGGGGGTTTTGGTATTGCTCTTTTTGCTCTTTCTGTTTTTTTTTGAGCTTCTTTTTTTGAGCATTTTTTTTTGTTTTTTGTTTTTGATCAAAGACTTCATTTGCTTTGTATGTATATATGTAAAAAGGGATTTCATACCTTGTCTTAATCCAGAGTCTTGTTCCAGTTCGCAGCTTTGCTTCAATCCAGGTCCAGGTTCCAATGCAGAGTTCTTCCGGTTTGTTCATCTTTTTTTGCTTTTTTTTTGCTTTTTTTTTTTTGCTTTTTTTTTTTTGCTTTTTTTTTTGTTTTGTTTTTTTTTTTGTTTTTTTTTTGTTTTGTTTTTTTGTTTTTTTTTTGAGAGAGAGAGGAGGGCTTAGTATAGGCCTCAGGGTCGGATTTCTTTTGATCCTTTTGGAGTGGAGGACTTAATGTGCCTGATCATTTCTGATAGGCTTTGGTCTACGCCTCGGTTTTTGGATTTGATCCTTTTGGAGTGGAGGACTTAATGTGCCTGATCATTTCTGATAGGTTTTGGTCTACGCCTCGGTTTTTGGATTTGATCCTTTTGAAGTGGAGGACTTAGTATATGCCTCAAGTTCGGATTTGGTTTTTGATTTTTGGTTTTTGATTTTTGATTTTTGGTTTTTGGTTTTTTTTTGGAACTTGCTTTTGGAATTTTGCATTGGACCCCTTCTTGGAAATCGACTTGGCCTTGAGACTTGGAGGTACAACCCAGATTTTGGACTTTGATAGAAATGCGCCTCTACTTTTGTATGTATATATGTATGTATATAAGTGTGTATATGTATGTTTGTATGACTATGACTATGACTATGACTATGACTATGTGTATGTGTGTGTGTATTTGTGTGTGTGTGTGTGTGTGTGTGTGTGTGTGTGTATAAGAAAGAAATAGAAAAATAGAAATTGTGTGTGTTTGTGTGTATGTATTTGTCTACTTCTCTAATTGTGTACTTCTCTATTTGTTTGTATATGTTTGAGTGCTAGGACTAGTACTAGAACAGTACTTGGACAGTTGTTGGACATTTGGACTTGGACTTGGACAAGACTTGGAATTGGATTTGGACTTGGACTTGGACATAGCAATGGACCTTGGCTTGACTATTTTGGAGATTGTACTAGTGACTATGGGGTTTGATCTGAGATAGAGAGATAATTGTGAGCACAATTTTTTCTGGTCAATATTGTTCTGGTTGTTTTTCTTTTCTTTTTTCTTTTCTTTTTTTTGTATCTTTTCATTTTCTTTTTATATATTTTTTTCTCTTTTTCTTCTTTTCTTTTTTGACTATCTATCTTGATTTGGCTTTGAATCTTGACAGTGACCTTGAGGGTCTCTGAAAAGCCTTTTTTTCTCTGGTGCGCATTTGGAGCCTGTGTTGTAGTAATACAAAAAATGATTAGTCTATGTCTTGAGATAGTTCACCCTTTTTCACCGTACTTACATTAGCCTTTCTTGTGGGCCGCATTGACGTTTGCTCTGGCGCATACTTTGGCCTCTCTTGTAGGATAGTTAGCCATTTTTGCTGGCACATACTGTGGTCTTTCTTGTGGGCTGGTTGGCCCTTTTTGCTGGCACATACTGTGGCCTTTCTTGTGGGGCGGTTTGCCCTTTTCTTCTGGCACATGCTTTGGCCTTTCTTGTGGGCCGGCGTGCCCTTTTTTCTGGCACATACTTTGGCCTTTATTGTGGGATGGTTTGCCCTTTTTGCTGGCACATACTTTGGCCTTTCTTGTGGGCCGGTTTGCCCTTTATCTGGTGCGCACTTGGAGCCTGCATTGTAACAATACAAAAACAATTAGATTATGTCTTGAGATAGTTTGGTCCTTTTCCTGACACTTACATTAGCCTGTCTTGTAGGCCTGATTGGTCTTTGCTCTGGCGCATACTTTGGCCTCTCTTATGGGCTGGTGTAGCCTTTTTCTAGGCGCCCTTGTTGGGCTTCTGGTGAGCCTTATCGGCTTTTGACGAGGTGTCTTGAGGACACGACATAGCCGACACCTTTGCGGCAGAAATGGAACCATCGAGTTCCCCGGCAGAAGCAACAGGAAGCAACAGGAAGCAAATGTCCGACCAGTGGGATAAATGGCTCCTACCAGTGAGATAAATGGACCCGCCAGTGGAAGGAAAATGGGCGGCTGGCAACTGGCAACTGGCAACCGGCAACCGGCAACTGGCGGCTATATAAAAAGGTCCACTGGCGAGAGATGACAGGTTCACTGGTAGGAGGAAAGGGCCTACCAGTGGGAAGCAACAAACCCACTGGCAGAAAAGTCCCACTGGCGGAAGCAACAGACTAACAAAAAAAAAAGCAACAAGCAACAGTACCTTTCAAATAACATGGACCGCCGTGGAAGGCATAGGGAAGGAACAAGCAACGGGAGGGAACAAGCAACGGGAACTAACCCAAAAAAGATGGTACCAGCCGCGCCCACCAGAAGAGACAACAGAAAGCAACCAGTAATACACAGGAATACGGACAACGGGCTCACACGCTACACGCGCGCTTGTGGACTTGCTCGATAGACCATGGTTGACCCGTGGCTACTACTCCATCGGGCCCTTTTGAAAGAAAGAAACAAAAAGAGAGAGCGGTCGGTCGTAAGAGTCCAAAATCAGCTCAACAAGCTTAACAAAATAATATTGCCAAGGCTTTATGAACGTCTTTTGAACTCTTACAGTCGCCTACTCCACAGGCTTTGATTAATTAGTATTCAAAGTTGCATCGCACATAACGTAAAAAATCATATACTTATCTTAAAGTGATCTGGCTAGCCGTTCATAAGAAAAGAAGCATGGCTATCGGAAGACCCTCTTGGCTTCTGTGTATAAACGATGACCGGCCGGACATAAACCCATATATTACCAGAAGCTCTCCATCGTCTCCACCAGTAGACACGGCCAGTACAAAGAAAAAGGGAAAAAAGGAAAACCAAAAGACGCGAAAATTTTTCTCTAGCTATAAAAACAGAAATGGGGAGATGATGACGCCTCCCTCACTTTAGTCCAATAAAATTCATTGAAAGTATACATCAATCAAAAGATTGGGGGAGATAGGGGGAGGAGGATGGATGGATGGATGCATCTTGTGTGGTGTTGGTCACGCTGATCATTTGTTTTCGTCACTACAAATACTTTTCAGGGAAAGTACCTGAGTATAATATTGTATATACACAAGTTGAAAAATGAAAACAGAAGGCCCTTTTAAAATATAACACTGGTCTTTCTTTCCAACTCTTACATTCAGTACCCATACTCTTACTTTTTGCAGTGCTATATTGTAGTATCCTTTAAATGTATCTACTGTTTTATAAAGGCCAGGCCTTGAAAGGCGTTTTCGGAAAAATTAAGACCGTCCTGATATAAAAGATAAGGGGGGGAGTCATGCAAATAAACAGGCTAAGTACAAACAAGGAAACCAAATATATATACATTTATACAGGTATGTATCACACGTTTCATATTTTCTCTCACCCTATTTGCTTCCTTTCAAAGGTTACCAAGTTACTTATGAAGTTAATAAAGCAAGCACACCAAGACAAGAGGTGTTTGGTAAAGAATACAAAACATACAAGACATAAAAAATGGCTATAGTTATTTGGCTTATTATTTATAAAATAATAATATTTTGAAGCATTTTGATAGTGTGCTTCTGCTAATCAAACAAGTGTAAGAGTACGCCCAATCGTAGCACTTTTATGTAAGTTGATAAATCACCTTTATAAAAAATATATTTCTATTAATTTAAAGAGTGCCTTTTGCTGCTACTCTCGAATCGATTCTTTTATATATTCAGTATATAAAGACTCTCTCTATCTCTTACTAGGCTTCTTTTATTTACTCTATATGTATTATATTAATGTACTCTAAGCGATAGAAATCCCTATAGATTGTGTATTGGATAATACAATTTATTCTTGTAATAAAAAGATATATATATATATATATATATGCACCTTTAATAAAAATGTATATCATATATATAGTATAACAATATTATCCCAAATCTTCAAGTCTCTTATAACTTACAAAAATAAAATCTCAAGGCTAGTGCTTTAACATACTATATCTTCTCCAAGTTTAATTTTAAGCAGACACCCAAGTAGCTTTTATTTTGTACATGCATAAAAAGCAGGTGTCTATTTATTATTTATTTTTTTGAAAGAAAACAGATTGGATATACAATTGAATAGTGCTTTTGTGAAAATAATTTATAATTTTGGCTAACAATATATGCTCATCAATATTACTAGCTGTATTCTACTTGAATAAAAAACATTATGCCAATGAGTTTTAGTCTCTTGGATTGCACGATTGCAGATACTTCGGAATTGTATTACAAAAACCATAAAAGGAATAAAAAAGGTGGGAACCTTGAAGTATCAACTTAACTTAGAAGCACAAAGGAAAATGCATTGGTTATGTAGTTCTTATCCGTGAGTAGGGCGTATCGAAATGCAGCAAGTAAAACCAGTTTCCTGGCTTCTCTATATTTTCCAGTAGAACACAGAAGTAAAAGGTCAAATGCGAGCAAATTGAACAAAAAGCTGCGGTGGGTTGTTTTGAAATGAACAGATAAAAAGTTGAGACAGCTATCTGGAGATGTGTATGTCGTATACTGGGGGACTACATTGTTTTGTGGTTACAAAAAAGAGCAACTGACTCTGGCATATAAGTAAGAATAAATTTATGAAG